CACTGCACTCCAGCCTGGGTGACAGAGCAAGACTCTGTCTCAAAAAAAAAAATAAAATAAAATAAAAAATTAAGCGGGATTGATGGCTCACATGTTACATGCATGTTTATCTTTATAAGAAATGCCAAACTGCTATGAAGTAGATCTACCATTTTACATTCCTACCAGCCATAAGGGTTATACTTGCTCCACATTCTTGCCAATGCCTGATGTTTTTAGTCTTTCTATGATGGGAAGGGGACATTCTTCAATCAATAACCCTGGCATGAGACTCTACCTGAATACAGTCATGTAAGGGACCCAATCCAAGAACCACCCACCTGGCATGAGACTCTACCTGAACACAGTCATGTAAGGGACCCAATCCAAGAACCACCCAGAGGAGCCTAAAATCTGGAACTAGGAGAGACAGTAATGATGAAATGGCAGTTTTAAACTACTAAGTTCTGGGATATTTTGCTATGTTGCAACAGCCATCCAGAACAGAATTTTGCACTGGATGTAGGTACTGCTATAACTGAGAAATAAAACTAAAATCTTAAGCACCCCAACTGACTGAACAGACACCCTCTTGGCCAAGGACCCCAGAGAAACCTTAAAAACTGAGTTACTGGCAGTGACAGGAGGTTGGACATGCCTAATTATACCCACTCTGTCACTAACAACCATTAGGCTTTCTTTCTTAAAAGTTAAGCCCTTTCGAAAGACTTGCTCCACCACTGATTTACACAACTGACCAGCATTCCTTCCTGATAAAAGACCACTAACCGTGTACTGGTTCTGGTTGGTTTATAAAGGCTGCACATGGGATGCCTCTGTGTCTTCCATTTGACCTTTTGGTTATACAGACTATTTTAATGCATTAAGTCTTCACCCCAAAGTGAACAAGGGATGCATGTAGCATGCATGTTTGCTTACTATGTATGTACATGTCCCCCACTTTGTGAATATTCATAGCTCTTCTTATAACCTGTTAAATATTTATACTTGGCCAATCTCATCAGCATAAATTCCTGTCTTACTTTTCCCTCCCTTGAAATGCCTGCTTCTGGTTTCTGGCAGAAGCTACACTTCCCAGCCTGCAGGATTTCAGGCTGCAACCCTTCAGAAGAAATGAAGCTCTCCTTTACAATTTTACGAACCTCATGATTCTTCAGGTGACATAACAATAACCTGAAACATGTAGCTTTGGGGCCAGGTGGGTAGAAGCTAGAAGGGATTCTTATTACGAGGTGCCAGAAACAGATGGTGGGTAACACTGTCACCAGAAGTAACACGGAAAACAGAAAGGGTACCCAAAGAACTCATGGATTTAGCTGGGGAGATGTCCAGGCAGAATGTAGAAAGTGACAACTGATTTCTCGTTCCCTATGGTAAAATACAAGAAAAGAGGTATAAACCAGAGGTGAAACTAATTAACTTTTAAAGCCAAGTTTAGAGGAAATATAAAGCCACCAGGACCTGCTGGGTTCAAAAATGAAACCTTCTTATCCTTAGACTGTCTCAAAAAAGACTCAGGAGGCTTCAGGACATGGATCAAATTCAGATTATAATCATCAAAGCATAACCTTAGGGTAAAGACCTTAAGGTTGGGGCTGTAAGACACTCTGTGAAAACCTCAGAATGATCTACTGTAAGTGCACCTACTAAGCCTTCTGAAAGTCTTAGGCTTTGTAGACCCTTTCAGTTAAACATGAAGGCTTTGAAGACTCTGCTGTGTACTGTTGTCTCACAGTAGCCTCCCAGGTAAAGAAGGATCTGTGTCTGAAAGATGTGGATGTGGCTTTTATCTAACCATGTTGATGATAAATTTATATAAAAGGACTCACAAAGTTTTTAAAGGAATTGTACTAGCTTAGATTGAAAGATGGCACAAAATGAAATGAGGGGTTTGGACTCCCTCAGCCTTCTACAGGAAGGTATCAGGTTGAGAACAAAGCTACCCCAGGCCGGGCATGGTGGCTCACGCCTGTAATCCCAGCACTTTGGGAGGCCGAGGCAGGCGGATCACGAGGTCAGGAGCTTGAGACCATACTGGCTAACATGGTGAAACCCTGTCTCCACTAAAAATACAAAGAATTAACCTGGCTAGTAGCGGGCACCTGTGACCCCAGCTGCTTGGCAGGCTGAGGTAGGAGAATGGCATGAATCTGGGAGGCAGGAGGTTACAGTGAGCCAAGATCGCGCCAATGCACTCCAACCTGGGTGACAGAGTGAGACTCTGTATCAAAAATGAACAAATAAATAAATAAATAAATAAATAAATAAAATTAAAAAAAAAAAGAAGAAGAAGAAGAAGAAAGCTACCCCAAGGCACACATGGGTCATTTCTTATGGAAGAAAAACGAAGACTCAGAGGGCAGAATCACAGCCAGGCAGAGCAAAACTGGATCTTCATCAAAATGTATCTTTCGACCCGGGGGCAGTGATGACTGGTAGATACCGGAATTTCTACAGACGGTGACTACTATGTGCCTCCTATTCTCCCCCACTCCTTTTTGAATACGACTATCCACTGCATTATTTTCCTCAAGCACCATTTTATAACGTGAGAGAAATGGGAGGATGAGGTGGCTGATAGATAACTTGTGCTTTTAGTTCACAGGTCTTAAAATGTAGAGGAAATGTACTTGATAATCTGTTCCCAAGAAATTGCACCCGAGGAGCCTCATCTGCATCTAGGCCTGATTCAGATGACATCTTGGATTTTTGAGCCAATGTAGTAATTAGATGAGCCTTGGAATTATTTGTTAAGAATATAACACTTTGGAAGAGTAGAATGGGCTTCCCTACAGTCCTTCGGGGCTGAAAAGACATAGACCCACCAGCCAGTCAACTGGAAACCCAAGGGGGTCATGGCCTAGAAACAGGAATGAAAAGTAGGTTGAATCTTAATAAAATGGAAGCCAGCCCTAACCCAGTGTAATCTCTGACTGAACTGAATGATCAGTCTTTAATACTGGCAGAGGGTGAATGCTCCAGTGGGAGATAACATCACCTAGAGCCTCTATACTTAAATTAAATATAATATTTGGCATATAATATTAATAGATATGGGAAGAGACACGACTGTAATAACAAAAAACCAACAGAAAAACCAGCTGAGTTCCCTAAAAGGTTTTTTTCATGGTAAGGCCAATTCCTTCAGACAAAGGTATCTAGAAATTCAAAGTTCTCAGTGTCGTCTGTGTCTGTCAAATATTCCCATTCCAAGTCTCAGGGACCCATGCCTTCCCAACCACCGCCCTTACCTTAGAATAAGAGATCATTGGATTTGTGTATTTAAATGGCTTTACAATTTGGTGACCCACACAATCAGGCCCTGCTCCTGTTCATCAGCCACATCTGTCTTGCATCTATAAAAAATAAGAGATCCCCTTAATGCCACCGTAAAGGCTTTCTGTTCATTCTCCATCTGTTGTACTCCCAACTTGAGAGTACAAGGTGCCAGGGGCCATGTTGATTTTTCAGAAAATATAGCACATCCAAATCAGCAGCTGTGATGGTCATCACCACCTGTCTAAATCTAAATCTCTGATAATCTTCAGTGATTCTTCAAGTCTCTCCCCCTGCCCTCTGATCTCCTACCGCCTCACACTGGCCAGCCCCTACTGGAAGATACGTACCCCAGGTGATAGAATCCATAGAGGTCAGCCTCCAGGAGCACAGCACAAGAAGAAAAGGAAGGAGAACAAGACTGGAGAAGCAAACAGAGAATAACCAGCACAGGCCACATGCCATGTATTCTTTTCTCAGAAAGTTACTGAAGACAGTGATCCCCAAATGAGAATTAAAGATAAGCAATGAAGGGATAGACAGAGACCAGGAAAAGGGACTCAGCATAGGAAGAGACATGAGGGGAGTGGCCAAGATGACGACGAAAAGAAGTCCTAAGACATCAGTTTGCAAGAATCTTAGTAGCAAGTTAACTCTGGAGTAGGACCACATTTGAAAAAAAATTTACTGAGCAATTACCTGAATCATTGCAGAACATGTTGCAAGCAGATTTGTAGTTTTTGAGAGAAATCTGAGCATGAATTAGTGGTAGGCACATAAAAAACTAAGTAAATGAAAAATTTAGGTAATGATTATAGGAAAGACAAAACAGTGCAAGAATGGAAATGTAATCCTAGTAGTCCACCTGGATCACCTCTGAACACTATCTACACAGTCCTTATCATATAAATACTAAAGACCTTCCCATCTACGAACTTGTATTACAAGCAGGTATTTTGCTCTATTGGTTTTTTCCTCTTTCCTCTGGAGCTGCCAAATCACCTGGGAGTCATGCTATAGGCAAAGGGAAGCACCAGCGGCCCATGGAGCACATTTGGAGAAGCAATGCTTCATGGTTTAACACTCTGTGCCAGAGATGACACTTTCTCCTTTCTTTTTTCACAGGGAGTGCCACACTTAGTCTAATGCTTACCTTTATATTCTACATGCTTTAGAAACTAATATGGACAAAAAGTGAATTTTATGAAATCTAGGAATGTATTCAGGGAAAACAGAAATTATCTCCATGTTATTATTAGAAGGCACAATCTAGTATCTCACTTTTTTTCTTTTTTTTTTTTGAGACGGAGTCTTGCTCTGTCACCAGGCTGGAGTGCAGTGGCACAATCCCGGTTCACTGCAACCTCTGCCTCCCACGTTCAAGCAATTCTCCTGCCAGCCTCCTGAGTAGCTGGGATTGCAGGCATGTACCACCACACTCGGCTAATTTTTGTATTTTTAGTAGAGACAGGGTTTCACCATGTTGGTCAAGCTGGTCTCGAACTCCTGACCTCAGGTGATCTGCCCACTCCAGCCCCACAACGTGCTGGGATTATAGGAGTGAGCCACCGCGCCTGGCCAGTATCTCACTTTTAACCTCAAAATTCTTATTAATGTTACCAAAGTAAAATTAATGGAAATGCTTGACCATTTTATTATAAGAGAAAATAGTAAAAATGTAAACTGGAATTGAATAAGAATAAAACATTTTAAAGTTAACTTACTCGTATGAAATCCATAAGTGTATTATAAATGAAGGCTCCTCTGGGAAGGAAAAAACAGCTTCCAGGACTCAAATCATGGAAAAAGAAAAGTTCTTGTTCCTAGATTGAAAAAATAATTGCATTTCAAATGTCATCTGCTATTGCTTAGTATTTACTACACACACGATATGCTGGGAATAAAATATATAATACTCAGTTATTTCTATCTTCTCTAGTAATAGACATTCCAAGGCCATTCAACACTTATACCTAAATTTATGTAAAATTTCCACTCATATTTATGGCTAATTAGCTTTGAACTTAGCTTTTATGTCACCTTCAGCCATTTTCTGCTAATTTTCTTACTTGGCACACTTGGAGTATGGCACTCATGGGGAGACAACATGGTAAAAAGACCAAAAAAGTTCACTGCAGGAGGTAGGCTTTAAGTGATGATGATCATCATCATGGCTGTCACTTACTGAGAGCCTGCCCTGTACCAGGCACCATCATCCAGTTTCTGTCTTCACAGCCACCCTGCAAGGCTACCCAGCAAGGAAGACAAGGACACAGAGCTTGCCCATCATCTAACACAGCTAGTGAGTACAAAGACCGGGCCTAAAGCTCAGGCCTAGCTGCTTTCCAATCTGATTTTTTCCTTCTACATGCTGCTCTGTCTCCCAGATACAAACGCTATAAAGTGCACAGAATGTAAAAAACAACTTTTTTTTTTTTTTTATACTGTGTAACACTGTGTCCCCCTCTTTCGCCCCAGGCTGGAGTGCTGTGGCGCAATCTTGGCTCACTGCAACCTCCGCCTCCCAGGCCCAAGTGATTCTCCTGCCTCAGCCTCCCGAGTAGCTGGGACTACAGGCACGTGCTGCCACGCCCGGCTAATTTTTTTGTATTTTTAGTAGAGGTGGGGTTTCACCAAAAACAACTTCATTTTTATATCATGACAAAAATAAGAGAAGGGTACAATTTTCAAAAATTAATAAAAGATATAGGAAGGAAAGAGGCTAGAAGACATCTGGGGTATCAAAATGGAAGAACTCAGCAGCAGACTATGAGTACCAGCAAAACAGGAGAGAAGAAGAAGAAATCTTATTATTAAAGCAACTTAGTTTTGTGAGACAGAAACATTCCTATGTGGGCTTATGATTACATCTCTCTAGTGATATAAGATGTGGGGCCTACCTTCCCAATCTTCCTGTGATCTCGGTTCTTCGCTTCCTCTTGGAACTTTTCCCAGTTCCTCATCATCTTGTTATCAGGAAAGGATATTCCATAGATCCTCTGCAATGTTTCCATTTCGGGATTGCCCTCCCAGTATGTTGAGGAATTCTAAATATCAAACAGGATTTTGGTAAATATATCAAACATTTGGTTGTAAGTAAAACTGCTCTTAAATATGAACGCAATTTTCCACTATAACACCAACAAAACAGCCCTGAGCCATGGCTCATGCCTATAATCTCAGCAGTTTTGGGAGGCCAAGGTGGTCAGATCATTTGAGCTCAGAAGTTTGAGACTAGCCTGGACAACATGGCTAAACCCCATCTGTACAGAAAATACAAAAATTTGCCAGGCATGATGGCACATGCCTGTAATCCCAGCTACTTGGGGGATTGAGGCAGGAGGACTGCTTGAGCCCAGGAGGCTGAGGCTGCAGTGAGCAGTGTTTGTGCCACTGCACTCCAGCCTGGGTGACAAAGCAAGACCTTGTCTCAAAATCAAACAAACAAACAAACAAACAAAATCAACAAAGCTTAAAGAAGACTTTTTATAGCGCTGGGAACAATCTTAAAATGGATTCTAACTAAACTTTCCCAGCCTAAATTATACCATTAACCAGCAAATTATGTAGAGTCTGCTATGGATTCTAGGAATGACAGTGACAGTGCACGGAAAGGAGGGAAGGCTAAGCAGGAATCATAATCACCAAGGACGGGGCAGAATAGACAGTAGGTATAGGGAAGTAAAGGTCAGTCTTGCTGACCTACAGTCAATGATTAAGAACAGTGCCATTAGCCAGCCCCATTTTACCTGTAAGAAAATCAAAGCCAAGAAAGGCTGGGACTGCCAAGTCAGTCCCATGCCTCCTAATTCCCAGAGCGATGTTTTCTCCATTACACCATCATATCCCCTTCTGCTGTTTTCTTTATCCTGTAGTACATTACTTTCACATGCAGACAAATATTCATCAGGGCTATTCGAGAAAACCATAGTATACAGAACAATATTTTAATATAGCTAGGAAAAAAGCCAGGTGCAGTGGCTCATGCCTATAATCCCAGTACTTTGAGAGGTCGAGACAGGTGGATCACCTGAGGTCAGGAGTTCGAGACCAGCCTGACCAATGTGGTAAAACTCCATCTTGACTAAAAATACAAAAATTAGCCAGGTGTGGTGGTGCACGCCTGTAATCCCAGCTACTCAGGAGGCTGGGGCAGGTGAATCGCTTGAACCCAGGAGGCGGAGATTGCAGTGAGCCAAGATTACACCACTGCACTCCAGCCTGGGCAACAGAGCAAGACTCTGTCTCAGAAAAATAATAATAAAAAATATCATATGGAAAAGAAATGTTATAACATTTACAATAAGGTAAAATGATAAAAAATACCTATAGTGCTCTAATTATCAAGGTTCTAAATGATTTTATTAGTTTTAGTCAAATAAGAATGAAATATTTTAAAATATCATGATGTTCAGACTACAAAGGATATGAGTGAAATCCCTTAATAGCTAGTGCACCTTAAGCTTACTATATTAAAAAAAAAAATCAATCCTTACCTTAAAAATTTTGATGGTTTTAATTTTTCCAGTGTGTCTTACATGTGGACCTTTGCAAAGGTCAATTAATGGACCGCACCTATAATGAAATATTTAGGACATGCTCAGGCACAATTATAGTTTTTTGGACTATTCATTATAAGCCATAACATCCTATGTTTTAGGTAGAGCTTCACTTATTTATATGTGGCAAGGCCACATATAATTAAAAATTAAATTTTTAATTTAGGGTGAAGGAGAGAGGCGATTCATCTAGCCTCAGAGTCCACTCTGCCCACTAGATTCCAAAACCACAGAACATCTTCTGAAAGAAACTATGCAATTCTCTGATTAAAAACTTAAATTACAATGAATACAAAAAGGGACTGGCTTACAGACTGACAAACACAAAAATGTCATCTCTTTCAATGGCCAGTCTTTGTGTATTGTTCTCTAGGGAGAGAGCTGGTAAGCAACACTCAGATGAAAGGAAGGAATGCCAAATTAGCATGAAAGGCTTCAGTAATCTAACCTTTAAATAGAAAGCCACAGGGCCAGTGTGGTGGCTCACACTTGTAATCCCAATACTTTCGGAGGCCAAGGCGGGTGGATCACGAGGTCAGGCATTCGAGACCAGCCTTGCCAACAGAGTGAAACCCTGTCTCTACTAAAAAATATAAAAAGTTAGCTGGGTGTGGTGGTGGGTGCCTGTAATCCCAGCTACTTGGGAGCCTGAGGCAGGACAGTTGCTTGAACCTGAGAGGCGGAGGTTGTGGTGAACTGAGGTCCTACCATTGCACTCCAGCCTGGGCGACAGTACAAAATTCCATTCCAAAAAATTAAAAATAGCTGGGATTACAGGCACCCACCACCAAAAGAAATCCACTAAAGAAAAGCTTTACTTTTTTTCCCAAAAATTAAATACAAGCCATTCAAATTGAAAAGCTACAAAAAGTGTCAACGTTGACCTAAGTAAGGTTCTAAAACCCAAGAGCTCAAGTATTAGAAGCCAGAAATTTAAAACTGAGCCTGTTTTCTACATTTTCATTTATTTTTAAATTTTAAGAAATGCACTGTGCATAGCTTTGCACAAAGGGGATATGATTTTTACTTACAGTACAATTAAACCAGAGAACCATAAGTCTTTGACTGTGAAAAATAAGTACCACAAGGGAGAATATCTGTGGTTGTAATTAAATAAATACCAGGTCTTCTAAGCTGGTACTGTGATGGTCCTAGCAGCACCCAGATGGATGGAACACACAACAGCAATTATGTATAAGGTGTATAAACATGGATAAATAAAAAGGTGCTCAGGAACCTGAGGTTAAACAAACAGAACTAAGTGATTCTGGTATTAATTTCACTTCCCTCCTCTTACATTTGATCCTGTCTTTGTTTCCCAGTATTTTCTTTTTGTCTCATCATGAGTATCCTGCTAACGCATAAAGATTGTACACTTGGACTCTGGATAACGGGGCAGACTCTTCTACACTTGCACTCTGGACAGTAAGTATGAGGCAGAGAATCACTGCCGAGGAGATGGACTGTAATGGCCCCCACTGCCACATTAATAAGAACATGGAAGGACAGAATAGAAACTCCTTTCCCAACAGTATCACTCACATGGAGAAAAATCCTGTTATAGCTGATACCCAGAAAACAAAATATGGGTCTCAGTACTGTCCTGATTATTAAAAAGGGGAAAATAATCATTTCTCTTTAGTGAAAACATTTTGAAGATTGTAACTAAAGTAGAGTATCAACTACACAACTTGAAAAATAGATCTCCAACCAGAAAACAAACTCTGCCTCTACTGCTAACACCTTCAAGTTTACCACTGAGCAGCGTTTAACATGTATGGACACAAACCTGTACACTGTGGTAGTTGCAGTGTCAACCTTCTCATTCAGAATGCGGCATTTAAATTTATTGTACTACAAAGAAAAATATATTTACACATTATTACACATAATGTTTAAATGAAGAAAACAACTCTACTTTTTCTCAAGAAACACTGAAAGAGCAGCTACTGATGTTCTAGGTGCTGAGACACGAGGGATACAAACAGCTCACAGCCTTGAGCTACACCATGCAGCATGGAGGCCACAAACCACGTGGCTACTGGGCATGTCAAATGCCCCTAATTTTTTTTTTTTTTTTTTTTTTTGAGACATAAGTCTCACTCTCTTACCAAGGCTAGAGTACAGTGGTGCCACCTTGGCTCACTGCAATGTCTGTCTCCCTGGTTCAAGTGATTCTGCCTCAGTCTCCTAAGTAGCTGGAATTACAGGGACGTACCATACCACCATGCCTGGCTAATTTTTGTATTTTTAGTAGAGACTGGGTTTCACTATGTTGGCAAGGCTGGTCTCAAACTCCTGACCTCAAGCGATCTGCCTGCTTGGCCTCCCAAAGTACTGGGATTACAGGTGTGAGCCACCACACCTGGCCTCAAATGCCACTAATTTGAAAGAAGGTATGCAGTGAGTATAAAGCACACTGGACTTAGGAAGTATAATGTTGTAAAAAGAATAAAATCATTCATTAATCATTCTTTATACTGGCTACCATTGAAATGATACTTTTTATATATTGGGTTAAAACATTTCTTAAAATTAATTGCAACTTTTACTTTTAAAATGTAGCTGCCATAAAATTTAAGTTTACACACGTAGCTCAGACTTGTAGATTGCATTATGTTTCTATTGGACAGTACTGTTCTAGAAGATCTAATTTTAACTACATTAATCAATAAAATTCTGACAAGGACACAGCTATATTATTTGTATAAAAACAAAAGCAAAGTTTATAGTAATGATGATATATTTATAAAACTAAGGTGTTTTTTTTTTTTTTTTTCCTTTTCCTTTCTTTTCTGCCTGCATCACTATTATCAGGGTATACAAGGCACTTTATATTATATAACTACTTAAAGGAGGTAGTTGTTGGGAGAAAAACCTGTATCTGTATGATTTAACTGTTTCATATCTATATATTCACATCAAATCATTTTCCTTAACAAAGACAGTGCTCAGTTCTTAAAAGTAGCTGCAAAAAAGGCAACCTACAGAATTAAATATTTGCAAATCACATACCTGTTAAGAAATGGATATTCAGAATATATCCAAGAACTCTTATAACTCAAATACAAAAAGCTAATTGAAAATGGGCAAAAGCGCTGACCAGACATTTCTCCAAAGACATTTCTTCAAGAAAAAACACAAATGGACAATAAGCACATTAAGATGCTCAACATTATTACGTCATTAGAGAAATGCAAATCAAAACCAAAACCCCCATGAGATACCACTTCACAACCACTAGGATGTCTATAAAACAAAAATGAAACAAAACAAGTGTTGGCAAGGATGTGGGAAAACTGAACCCCTTGTGCATCACTGGTGGACTGTGAAATGATGCAGCCACTGCACCAAACGGTATGGTGAGTTCTCAAAAACTTAAAACCAGTATTGCCATAGGATCCAGCAATTCCACTTCTAAGTATATTCCCAAAATAAGTAAAGCAGAGACTCAAACAGAACTTTACACACCCATGTTCACAGCAGCATTGTTCACAATAGTAGCCAAAAGGTAGAAGCAACCCAAGTGTCTATAGATGGATGAATGGGTAAACAAAATGTGGTCTATCCGTACAATGGAATATTATTCAACCTTATAAAGGAAGGAGATTCTGACACGTGCTAAAACATGGATGAGGCCGGGCGCAGTGGCTCACGCCTGTAATCCCAGCAGTTTGCGAGGCCGAGGTGGGTGGATCACCTGAGGTTGGGAGTTCAAGACCAGCCTGAGCAACATGGAGAAACCCCATCTCTACTAAAAATACAAAAATTAGCCAGGCATGGTGGTGCATGCCTGTAATCCCAGCTACTCGAGAGGCTGAGGCAGGAGAATCGCTTGAACCCGGAAGGAGGAGGTTGCGGTGAGCTGAGATCGCGCCATTGCACTCCAGCCTGGGCAAAAAGAGCAAAACTCCACCTCCAAAAGAAAAATAAATAAAAAATAAAATAAAAAAACATAAAACATGGATGAATCTTGAGGACATTTTGCTGAGTGAAACAAGTTAGTCACAAAAGGACAAATATTGTCATGATTCCACTGATATGAAGTGCCTAGAGGAACCAAATTCAGAGATGGAGAGTAGAATGGTGGTGGCCAGGGGCTGGGGCCGGGGTGGAGGGGCGGAAGGGGGAGCTAATGTTTAACGGGTACACAATTTCTGCCTGGTAAGATAAAAAGCTTTGGAGATGGATGGTGATGATGACTGACAACATTGTAAATGTACTTCATACCACAGAACTGTATACTTAAAAATGATTAAATGGTAAATTTTATATGTTATATATTTTACTGCACACAAAAGAATACTGCAACCTTTTACCAAAACCAACTCTATTTTTTATTAAAGCCCACAAAACTAATAATACTGTGTTTTCAAAATATATGTTTTTGGTTGGGTGCGGTGGCTCATGCCTGTAATCCCAGCACTTTGGGAGGCTGAGGTGGGTAGATCACTTGAGGTCAGGAATTCAAGACCAGCCTGGTCAACATGGCAAAACTTCGTCTCTACAACAAGGATACAGAAATTAGCCAGGCATGGTGGCACATGCCTGTAGTCCCAGCTGAGGGACTGAGACAGGAGAATCACTTGAACCTAGGAGGCGGAGGTTGCAGTGAGCTGAGACAGTGCCACTGTACTCCAGCCTGGGAGGCAGAGAGAGACTCCATCTCAAAAAACAAACAAACAAACAAACAAACAAACAAACAAAAAATGTATGTTTTCTCCAGTACATATGTTTTAAAACATAAAATCAGGAATATATTTAAGTACATTGGTCAAAAAAATATAGAGAAAGTTACCGTTTTATACAGATTACTCTAGGTTAAAATCTGAAAAAAAAAGTTAATAGAAAACTCCCAAAGAAAAGAGAAAAAGGCAGCCTTTTACATGGGATTATAAATATTGTTGAATTTAGGGGACAGATATTCACAATACTCAGAATTAATCAGATTTATAAACACACATATAAAAATTATTCACCTGGCCCTTTACCTACCTATGTCTGCCCTAAAATGTTCAGGAAATAGATGAGGAGGGAAATGCCACAGCAAGTAACTGGTAACAACCTCACAGTAGCTTAACAGAATTAGAACAATTTGGTGAGCAATGGCTAACTATTTGGGGGAAGGTGGACAAGCTAGTCTACATGGATTTTTAATATTCCTAGTAAGATGTTTAGGAGTTTCCCCAAGTTACCTTAAACATTTCCAGGAGGATTTCCTTGCTGACTTCTAGTCTTTCAAAAGGTTGCTTTTCTTTTATGATGGCTTTACATATATTCTCCAGGGCTGACAATTCTGTGCTGGACACTGCTCTAAAAAGAAGAGCAGAGAACCGACATCGATCTTCCAGACATGCATTCCCTCTTTCCTTTGTCCTGAAGGCTCAGCAGTGACACATTTTCTAACTTGAATCTGGTAAGTCTTATTGTTCTAGGACTTCAGAAAGTCAAACATTCATACGGTCACTACTCTTGCGTCTCAAAGAGGGAGACTAGGGCATCAACGGGTGCCACGACCTGCCTCATTTCTCCTCTGCTGCAAGGTGAGCAGGAAGCCCTGCTAGGAGACATCCAGGTGGACTGTGAGCTCCTTTGAGACTGGTTCTTCTGTGCGGTCTTCCTTATCCTTCACATACTTTAGTTTTGCTCAAGAGCCAGATGGAGTGCTCATCATGTCCCTGCCCTCACTGGCTATGGAACTAAGGCTGGGAGAGATCTGTGTGGACTGCAGAGTCCCGGTGCTCCTAGCAGCACTGAGCCTCCACTATGCATGGACTGACTTCCTTTGAATCACCCCCTGGTCAGTGCTCACTCCCTCCTGCCACATTGGCTTCCTTGCCACTCCTCAAATAAGCCACACATATCCCCACATCAGGACAGTCTCACAGAGGCCTGGAACCTTCTCCCTGCAGATGTCATAAGTATCCCTGTCCTCAGGGCTTGCTCCCTCCCTCTACTCTGGTCTGCTTCAATGCCATCTGCCCCTTCCTGCCCACCTGCCTGTTATGGCACACACCTCCCACACCTGGCTGATGTTCCTATATTCATCACCACCAGGCAGCAGATGGTTACTTGTGCATTTGCTGTCTTCCCCCAACCAGACTGTTAGCTCCATGAGGACAGACTGGTTCCTTCACTGCCGAATCACCAGCACCCACCACAGAGCACATAGCAGGGAGCAAAAACATCTTGTTGAACGAATACTGGAGCCATGTTAACAAGAGATGAACTGGATGTGATACTGTGATATAATAACAAACATATATTTGGTCTTCATCCAGATTTCTGGCACAGGGTTTTTAAGATCCTGAAATCTCTGGAGTGATACGAGTGTCTTTTGTGTGCTGATGAGATGACTGGTGGCTAGGTCCCCTAGGTAGCTTCAGAATGGGAACTGGTCACCAGAAAGACCAATGCATGATTAAAGGGTTGGGAATTTCAGCACCCCTACCTGCCTCCTTCGGGGAGAGGAGAGGGACTAGAGATTGGGTTATCACCAATGGTCAATGATTGAATCAATTGTGCCTCTACAATGAAACCTCCATAAAAAGCCCTAAACGAGATTCACAGAGCTTCCAGGTTGTTGAACACATCCAGGTGCTTGGGGCATGGTGCCCAGAGACACATGGAATCTCTGCACCCCCTCCCACATACCTCACCATAAGCACCTCTTCCATCAGGCTGTTCATCTCTATCCTTTGTACCATCCATTATAATAAACTGGTAAGGTAAGTAAAGTGCCTTCTTGAGTTCTGGGAGCTAGCCTAACAAATTATTGAACTCAAGGATGGGGTCATGGGAACTCCCGATTTGTAACCTGTAGGTCAAAATTATGGAAGACCCAGACTTCCAGCTGGCATCTGAATTGGGGGCAGTTTGTGGGACTGAGCCCTTGACCTGGGGGATCTGCACTAACTCAGGGTAGACAGTGTCAGAATTGAGTTCAATCATTAGACACCTAGTGGGTGTCCAGAGAGTTGGAGCACTGGCTGTTGATGTGGAAAAAAACCCCACACCTTTGAGATCAGAAGTGGTACAGGTAAACACAGTTCATGGTTGTTGAGGAATAGTGATTCAGACTGGACAAGTCTCTAAGTAGCAGCTACAGAGCGTTGGGTGCTTGGTTGGGGAGGTCATTAAGCGGTGTGCAGGAGAAGGTAAAGATAAAATGCACCACAGTCATCCAGGCCAGAGACGCCATGAGGCCAAGTTAAGGCAGAAGTGAGAGAAGGAGAAGGGCGTGGGAGAACTATTTAGGAGATAACACTGGCAGAACTGGATGGTGGGGTGGTGGTGAAGAGCAGGGAGGAAGTAGAAAGATCAGAGGTTTTGGTTGTGCCAACTGGAGGTACCCTTAAAAGCTGAGGAATTCAGGGCAGGAGTTGGACGGGGCTGGCTGTTTGCTAATGATTCAAGCATAGGTCTATGGAATGTGAAGCCTCTGTGAAGCATCCCTGTCTGGCACTCAACTATGTGAGACGTTTGGCTGAGGTTAATGATGTCCTTGATTATCATGGAGCAAATTAAACTAAGCTCTCCCTAGGAATTAAGCTTTCGATTCTGGTCTTAATTAATACCATGCTCTAGCAAGTCCAAGATTAGATAAACAGCATATCATATTCTTCTGGGGACAAAAAAACAAAAACAAAAACAAAACAAAACAAAACAAAACAAAAAACAATTTTAGAAGTACCTCTTGAATCTAAACTAGATTTGACTAAAAATAAGTTTTAGTTAAATGGCTTAGACCATCTAAACAAAAAATAATTTTCAAAATTGGTCAACCAATCTATGCCATATTATGCAATACAGTTGACCCTTGAACAACGAAGGTTAGAACTACATGGGTCCACTTATATGTGGATTTTCTTCTGCCTCTGCCACCCCGAGGCAGCAGGATCAACCCCTCCACTTTCTCATCAGTCTACTCAATGTGAAGATGAAGAGCTTTATAACGATCCACTTCCACTAAATGAATGGTAAATATATTTTCCCTTCCTTATGATTTTCTTAACATCTCTTTTCTCTAGCTTATTTTAAGAATACAGTATATAATACACATAAGATACAAAGTATGTGGTACTCAACTGTTTATGTTTTCATTAAGGTTTCTAGCTAACAACAGGCTATTAGTTAAGTTTAGGTGGAATCACAAGTTTTACTCAGATTTTCAACTGCATGGGCATCAGTGCCCCAATCCCACATTATGTAAGGGTCAACAGTATAAAGTTACTAAGCTAGTATGTAACCATTAAAACACCATAAAATTGAAACACATGCATTCACAAGCCAGTATTCAGTGTGTTACCTGTCTTCAATGAACATGTCATAATAAAATCCATTTTCAATGGGCGGACCGTAGCACAGGTGGCCTCCATAATGAAGTTCCATGGCTTCCCCAAGAATGTGAGCACTGGAGTGCCAGTACACCTGCATGGCATGGACAGAGGGGCCATTAGCTGCCAAAAGTATGTCATGAAAAATTAGTAGTAAAATGATGTAAACAAGTAGAACATTTCAAGGAGATAAATGGCAAGACCAAGGGCAGCAACATCAACTTGAAAGGAAAATCTTCAATGCCCACTTAGAAGAGAATGCTTTCTGAGCCCTCCCTGACATTCCACCAGAGCTACGTGCTCAGTGCCAGTGTGAAGCCACTCTGCTGAGAGTGGTAGCTGGAGCTCAGCTACAACCCCATTTCCTCTGTGCATATCAGCCACAAGGGATGAACACCTCTCGGAACATCCAGCAGAGCAGCTGTGTGCAAATCTGATTGAAGCCCAGAGTGGGAGGAAGGCCGAGGAGTGCCAGGTGCTAGCTCTCTTCCTTTTTCTCCAGGGGCACCCTCTCTGAGAGGGACACAGAGCACTAAGTGTTCCTGACACCACTAGAGTTAACGAGATTCTGCATCTCCACAGCAGTCTTCATGTGCTGAATAGCATGTGACTGTGGAAGTTTGAAAGATGGCTCAGGAAGAAAAAAGTGTTGCCAGGGAATGTCTGCTGGCTGCCTGGGACCCCTGAGAGGTGTATACATGAGTTCATTAACCACAGTCCAGAGCCCGGTTGTCAGTCCTCCAAGTTCAAAAAGTTGATACGGTTTCCAGTTCCCAAGGAATTCATTTTAGTTTATGGATAAAATGAAACTAACCAAAGTCACCAAATAGATATAGGTACCAAAAGAGTAAGATAACCAAGTCATCTGTCAGCACTTTCTTTCCTTTTATTAAATAGAAAGCAAGTTACAATTAAAGAGTTGTTTGATAAAATGAATCAGAGCAGAAGGAGTTAGACGATGGACCACTATGTGCAATCCCAGCCCATAGCAATAGGCTGGGATATGATTTGCAGAAAGACCCAGAGGGTCAGTCCTTAGGGCACGGCACTTCTCCTTTGGATGCTGCTAGGATGGCAGGCTGACTGCTAGCATCAGCCCAAATCTCTTGCGTGGTGCACTGTCCACACCTAGATATTTGTTGAGCCAAATACTGTGTTATGTGTTGGGTTACAATAGTGAAAGAAACAGACATACTCACAGCCCCCACACAGGTGCAGCCTATTGGGAAAGACACAGGCAATAAACAAAACTGGAAGTGCATAATTATATTTAAAAGGAGATGAACAGGGCTTTGTAATAAAGAAAAACAGTGAGTGTCCTACGTTCATGGGGACTCGGGAAGGCCTGTGTGACTAACACGTAAGGGATGGGACAAAGCATAGCTTGAGAAAGGTTAGAGAGGTAAGGAACGGTCAGAGACCATGCAGGCCTTGGGGAGGAGCTTGCATTTTACTCCAAATGCAATTGGATGCATTAAAGGGTTTTAAGCACAATGATTAAATTTACATTTACACACATCATTTGATAGCTCAATGGGAATGAATTTCAGGGGACAAAACAGCAAGTAGGTAGTTTCTTGCGTGGGTCTATAACAAGGTGAGTGCAGATTCTCAGGCAGTGGCAATGGAGAGGGAGAGAAGTGGACAGATTCTAGATATGCTAGGAAGTAAAATCTACTGGGCTTACCCCTCACTGGAGATGGAGTTGAGGGACGGGGAGGAATCACACAAAACCTCCAAGGTTCTGGGTTGAGCAATTGGGTATGTGGTGGAATAATGCATTGACTTAGGCAAATAGGAAAGAAATAAATTTTGGGGTTAAAATAGAAAATTTCATGGTGAATGTACTGAAGATTCTTGTAAAATATCTACGTGCAGATATCACACAGGCAGTAGTGCATAAAAACTGAGGCATGGCTACCTATGGCTGGAGAGTTGTGAATTCAGTTTACAGTACTGAACTTTCTGAAAATCACTTTTAAACATGGTTTTATTAATAGCATACCGTTTAGATATTTGTTATACTTTGCATATTTTAAACAGAAATTAAAACATGGTTCTTATAGTTTAAAGAAATTTAGCATAAGCTTTGCAATTACTGTAACCTAAGCTAATCATAAGTTAGGTTTTATGAAGATAATGGACAGCTTGAAGGGCGACTGCAACGTTCAGGCGGCAATGTATATCAGAAATCACATATTACATGCATATGTGAACAATGTGGTATTTATTTTATAGAAAATTATATTAAGTATTTAAAGTATATTTGAGTCTTATAACTTCTTCAAATTCTTCGATACAAATTAAATTATAAAGTAGACCCATTTTTTAACAGTCTATTAACAATTCATTTCAAACACATTGATTTAATAACCAAAGCATTCTAACTTAAGGAAATGATTATTGTAAGAAATGATAAGGCTGGGCACAGTGGCTCACACCTGTAATCCTAGCACTATGGGAGGCTGAGACAGGCATACTGCTTGAGCTCAGGAGTTTGAGAACAGCCTGGGCAACATGGCAAAATCTGTCTCTACAAAAAATATGAAAAATTAGCTGGGTGTGTAGGTGCGTGCCTGTAGTCACAGGTAGCCGGGAGGCTGAGGTGGGAGGATCACTTGAGCCAGGGGAGGTTGAGGCTGCAGTGAGCCATGATTGCACCACTGTACTCCAGTCTGGGTGACAGAGTAAGACCCCATCTCAAAAAAAAAAAAAAAAAAAGAAAGAAAGAAATTATGGGCTACTTTAAAAATGGACATGTATTTGTATACATTCATGCCACAGATATTTATTAAACATCAATATTCAAATTTTAAATCTTAGAAACTCCCAAAAAACTCAACATTCGTGACTTCAATATGTGGCTTCTTATAGAATGTAGTTTACAACATAACTACCCAAAGTTTGGCTGTCTGGATTTTAAATACTCACAGCTTGAGCTTCCTCATTATCAAATGTAAGCAGCTCTAGAGAAGAGTCCCCTTCCAACGGGCGGTCCAGGTCCCACAATTCACCATTTACTTTGGCTATTACTGTGCTTTCAGCCAGTTCCTGACTAGGAAGAGAAAAGCCACTTGGGAGTTAACCTTATCCTTGTTACAATGATTCCTTAAAAGATTAAAAGAATTTCTAGGGTTTTTTTTTTTTTTTTGAAGTGTATAGAAAGTACAAACCTAAACTAATAAGACAGATACTTAGTGTTTTGTAATATTTATTTTATGTAGAAAAGTAATACACATGCACTGTTTTAAAAAAACTTGGAAAACTGAGAAAGCACATAGGATAAAATAAAAATCACACATAAATATCATAAATCACTACTTACAACATTTTGGTACATTTCCATCCAGTGGTTTTTCTACCTCCACCCACCCACCCACACATATGTGCCGTCTTTAAAAGCAGTTGCCAACATAATTGTATAGCTTGCGTTTTCTCTATCATGCCTCAGATAACCTTCCAAATACTTCCCAGTCTGGAAGTATTGTATTTATTAATGAAGCCTCCACTGCTGCACACTGAGGTCGCCTAAGTTTTGCTCTCATAGAGTATACCACACAGACATCTGTACACAGGCATCTTGCGACTTCTGTGACTGTTTTCTGGGAATACGTCCACAGAATTGGAATGACTAGATCAAAGGTGATGTACCTTTGAAAGATTTCTGATGTCATTCGAACAGCATCACTTCCATGTACCCCAGTTTTTAAAAATCTTTGTCTATGTGACATTGAAAATTGTTGTTTTAATTTAATTATTAATTTTGGTTCATCCTTACAAGCTATTTTTACTTTTATGAACTATCCGATTCCTTCGCGTCTTTTCTTTTTTTTTTGAGATGGAGTCTCACTTTGTCGCCAGGCTGGAGTGCAGTGGGCGATCTCAGCTCACTGCAACCCCTGCCTCCTGGGTTCAAGCAATTCTCCTGCCTCAGCCTTCCGGTAGCTGGGACTATAGGCACACGCCACCACGCTCAGCTAACTTTTGTATTTTTAGTAGAGATGGGGTTTCACCACATTGGCCAGGATGGCCTTCTAGTGAGGTGTTGATCTCTTTCTCTTTTTTTGTGTATCTTTTAAATAAATTTATTGTTTGAAAATTGTTGACAAAATTACAAGTTAAGAAAGGAAACCTGGAAAGCACAGAAAAACACACACACACAGAGTCACCTATAATTCCACCACCAAGAAATTACCATTGATGTTTTGTTTATATCTTTCCACATTATTTAATATATAGGAATAAAAAATATTTAATAGTATCATAATTATGTTATTTTATAACCTACTTCTTAAACTTAACAATAAATCACAGCATTTTCCCTAACAGGAGATAGACTTCTAAAACATGATATTTAATAGTCACAGAGGAACCAATATTTGCTAGGCATTTTAATTATTTTTATGAGTATTTTGGGGGATGAGTAGTAATGAAAAACAATGCTGCAATGAACATTCTTGAACATATATCTTACTCAATTATTTTCTCAGGAAAAATTCTGGAGGTTAAACTGCTAGTCAAGGGAAATGCATCTTCCGTGACTTCTGTCAGAATATATTGCAAAATTTTCCTACTAGCAGAGTTACAAGAGTATCTTGTCTCTGAGTTCTCATAATGTTAGGTACTATTATATTATATCAACTCTTCAATTTTTTTCTTTTTTTTTTTTTTTTTGAGACAGGGTCTCACTCTGTTGCCCAGGCTGGAGAGCAATGGCGCAATGTCAGGTCACTGCAACCTCTGCCTTCCGGGTTCAAGTGATTCTCCTGACTCGACCTCCTGAGTAGTTGGGATTACAGGCACATGCCACCATGTCTGGCTACTTTTTGTATTTGTAGTAGAGACAGGGTTTCACCCTGTTGGCCAGGTTGATCTCAAATTCCTGACCCAAGTGATCTGCCCACTTTCACCCCTCAAAATGGTGGGGTTACAGGTGTGAGCCACCGTGCCCAGCCTACAATGTAATCTTTTAATTTACATTTCTGTGATTAACTTGAGCAGCAGTATAGCATTGTGGTTAGGAGCACACAGGTGAAAGGCCAAACTGGGTTTAAATATTGGACAATTTACTCAGCTTTTTAGGCCTCAGTGTTCTTATCTACAAAATGGGGATTACAGGACATTCCTCATTCACTTATACTCAGGATTACGTAATGTGTACATATGATAACAGTAACTTAATAAATGTTAGATATTATTAATCAAATAGAACTTTCTTTTCATTTTTACTGACTGTCACAGATGGCTACATGTTCCGCAAAGCCATTCTGCCCTTCTTCTACAGACGGAGTTTTCCAGCCTTCCTTGCAGCTAGATGTGGCCAGATTTGGAGCCAATGGACAGAAGGAGAAGTCATGTGTACCACTTTTGTGTCTCATCATTAAAACAGTGGAGGGCACTTCTCTATCCTCTCTCCACCTTCTGTAGATGGGAACCCATGTGCTGTTCTTTCTGGACCATGTAGACAAGGGCAACGTTGTACCAGACAGATCAGCAAGATGGGAGAAATTTGGGTCCCCAAATGACTGTATGGAGATATGTCACCCAGTCAACCTGGCCACCCACGTCTACACTGCTATATGAAAAACAGACTTTGACCATATTCAAGTGACTGAGTTTTTTGTGATGTCTTTGTTGTAGCAGCTTAGTATATATCTTAAGTAATACAAAAATAATGACCTGGAAGTAAAAATCCAAAACATGTGGCACTGGCTTAGCAGACCGGCAGTGAGTAACAAGGAAACAGACTCTAACATATGGAGAGCCAGTAACCTTTGTGATAGTATAACAAAATATTTGATAAAACTTGCAGGCAAACCATGTGTCACAGTGCTTGTAGCACACAAGAAAGCAGATATAAAAGGGGAGAGTAAGGCCGGGTGCGGTGGCTCACACCTGTAATCCCAGCACTTTGGGAGGCCGAGGTGGGCAGATCACCTGAGGCTGGGAGTTCGAGACCAGCCTGACCAACATGGAGAAACCCCTTCGCTACTAAAAATACAAAATTAGCTGGGTGTGGTGGCGCATGCCTGTAATCTCAGCTACTTGGGAGGCTGAGGCAGGAGAATCCCTTGAAACCAGAGAGCGGAGGTTGTGGTGAGCCAAGATGGAAAAAGGGGCGGGGCACGGGGGGGAGGGGACAGTGTTGGTATACCCTGGGTAACTCTTGTTGCTTTCAGCAAGAAGCAACAAGAATGCGTTATCTCAGATGAAAATAATCTAGTTTGCTAGCAGAGACGGAAGGGATGGGGAGGCTCCCTCTGCCTGTGTCCCATAATTCAACTGACTAAAAGTTCAGAAACATGGAGCTATGCAAGATTGGAAAGACAATCTTCCTTCCCAAACAGCAGGAGGGACAGGCATTGAGAGCCCTTCTCAAAGGCCACACATAAATCCAGACAACAGAGGCCAGTGGAACTGCAAGGATTAGAGAGCAAGACTGCCTCCCTCCCACAAGTCTTTTGCTTCATATGCTCTCAGTCCATTAAACGAGGAAACAGGAGTGAGCCAAATTAAAAAGCCATGAAACAATAGGGTGAGAAGTCTATCTAGAAGATTCTTTAAGTGAGACAACTTTCATGTGGAACGGATTAGCTACAAACAGATCAGAAGCCTACTATGGCTAACTGATGATGGAAATTATATTGTCAAACAAATTATAAGCCCAGCTCACAAACATCTGTAACTATGTGATCCTTAAAGGAACCCTCAGGCCCCAAGTGTGCACCACAGAACTGAGCTGTGCAAACTGCACAGACCCCAAGAGGACAAACTGTCGTGCACTTCAGATGTGACAAATGAGGGTAATGGACAACTCTGAACTTCCCAAAGTGAAAAATCAGGGCCCATGGGGGATCATGGACAAGACAGCTGCTTCCAGAGAACAAAGGATGAATAGTTGGGCTGACACAAGCACTAACCGCTGCCAGGCTGTGGGGCCTCACAATGGCTTCCAGCAGAATCTGATGACTTCTCTATACCACTCCCTGCTATATTTCTCCTCTTTCTTTTTTCCAAGCACACACTTTGTGATTGTCTTCTGTGTACTGCATACACATGTGGTGTGAGCAGACTTGTCTGTTAGTTCATTTGTTACTAGAATGCAAGTGGTCAGCCTGATGTGGGGGTGTTCTGTACATCACTCAGAAATCCCAGGCTTTGAGCCATGGAACAAGAGAGTTGTCTCACTTGGGGAGTGAGCGTGTCAGATGTTGAAAGAAGGGTACCTAGAGATATCTGGATATCAGAGGGGCAGACTATGGCAGACTCCCTGTTGTTTCATAAACCATTCCTCTCTTTCATGGTATGAATGCTTTAGCTGGACATGTGTCTGGGTGGCCAATGGAGCTATATTCCCATTCTCTCTTACAGCTAGGCATGGCCATGTGACTAAATGAGAGCTAACAGGATGTGAGTGAAAATTGAAGCCAGCTCCTGTGGGGTCTTGGCCTCAAAGCATCATTGTTCTACAGCTTCTCTTCCTCCTGACTGCAGGTAGGCCCATGCAAGGACCCAGCTTCCACCGCTAGACACAAACAAATTCTACCTAGGGGACAGCAGATCAACAAGATGGAAGGAAGCTGGGTCCATAAATAACTGCATGGGTCAGAAATGTTCACTAGGCTGGACTAGTCACTTCTAGACGGTTAGTTTGCATCAGAAGCCCCTGGAGGGCTCATACAAAGACAGATAGCTGATCAGTTCAGGGTGTTTGAGGTGGGACCCCCAAATTTGCTTGTCTAACAAGTTTCCAGGTAATGCCTTTGCTGCTGGTCTGGGGACTACACTTTGAGAAATACTGACCCAACACATTTAACATGTAATCTGACTCTCCATGAGAAAACAAACTTATTCTTGCTTCACAACCTGTTTTCTCCTAGCACATCATTCCTCTTGGAAAACATGAAAACAGGTTGAGAGAGCATTTAACAATATAACAGGATGAATCAGAAACATAATCTTAGCCATAGTTTTCAAAGAAAATCTGAGAATTTCAATTGTTGAAACAGTTTGTTTTGTAAATGATAAACATTTATTTACATGGCATTAAATACAATTGTATAGAAGCTATATAATTGTATTTATATAATAGCTTCTAATGCTAGGAATCAGCATTAGTCAAAACAATACAACTTCACTAATGTATCTAATTCCTAGAAAGGTCAATGCACTTTTCCAAGACTGATAATAGCTCTAACACATATATCTTCAATCTATAATTAAAAGACCTGTAAAAACTCATGGAAATTACTTGATTGATGAATAAAGTCAGTGTAAAATGGCCTGTCAAGACAGATTTTTTTCTCTCCTATATATTTTTATGAGAACAGGAAATGACTGTGTTCTGATATTCAACTACTTATTTACATGACCCTTGCAGAAGCCAGAGGAAAAAAATTAAATACATTTAATTTATGCAACTGAATAAGAAAAAAAAATTAGCTGATATGGTTTGGCTGTGTGCCCATCCAAACCTCATCTTGAACTGTAGTTTCCATAATCCCCACGTTTTGTGGAAGGGACCCAGTGGGAGGTAATTTAATCATAGGGGCTCCATGCTGTTCTTTGGTGGTGACTGCGTTCTCATGAGATGTGATGGTTTTATAAGGGGTTTTCCCCCCACTTTGCTCTGCACTTCTCCTTGCTGCCACCATGTGAAGAAGGACATGCTTGCTTCCCCTTCTGCCATGATTGTAAGTTTCCTGAAGCCTCCCCAGCCCTGTGGATCTGTGAGTCAATTAAACCTTCTTCCTTTATAAATAACCCAGTCTTGGATATGTCCTTTTAGCAGCGTGAGAATAGAGTAATATATTAGAGGTCCCTAAGAAAACATTTTCACCAGGCTCCAGCATAATTACTTAATATTGAATATCTTTTCCACACTATGGTTTACCTAATTTCAGCAGCCACTTGGTAAGGCGTTGTTTTCCAGACTTCCCCTTGCACTGTTTGCCCATCAGCCACTCTCACTGTGATGATATTGCTTGTATCCCCTTTTTTTCCATAAATGGAAAGTAAGAGCTGATGGTCTTTCTTCAGTATTTCAAAAAGCTTCAATCTTTCTTTTATGAAAATTGGTTGTTTCACCTGAAATTATAATGAGATTAATATATACAGCTTACTGTTTTCTAGCTGCTCAGCTCTGAATCAGCTTCACCCCCTCACTGTCTTCTCAGCTCTACAGATGCTCCCAATGTACCACGGTTTGAATTACAATTTTTTTTGTTGTTGTTGCTTTTTGGTTTGTTGTTGTTGTTGTTTTGAGACAGTCTTGCTTTGTCATCCAGGCTGGAGTGCAGGGGCCCGAACTCAGCTCACTGCAGCCTCTGCCTCCCAGGTTCAAGAGATTTTCCTGCCTCAGCCTCCCGAGTAGCTGGGATTATAGGCACGTGCCACCCTGCCAGACTAATTTTTGTATTTGTAGTAGACATGGGGTTTCGCCATGTTGGCCAGGCTGGTCTCAAACTCCTGGCCTAAAATGATTTTTGGCCTCCCAAAGTGCTGGGATTACAGGCGTGAGTCACCATACCCAGCCACAATTTTTGAAGTTTAATGATGTTGTGAAAGTGATATGCATTCAGTAGAAACTGTACTTTGAGTATTCCATACAACCATTCTGTTTTTCACTCACCACAGTATTCAGTAAATTACACGAGATATTCAACACTTCATAATAAAATAGGCTTTGTGTTAGAGGATTTTGCCCAACTGTAAGATAATGTAAGTGTTCTGAGCACTTTTAATGTACGTTAGGCTAAGCTATGATGATCACTAGCTTAGGTGTATTAAATACATTTTAAACTCACATTGGTTTTATTGGGATATAACCCCACTGTAAGGCTAAGAGCATGTGTACTTCCCACCTCCAAAAAGCTCCTCTCTCTGCCTATCTAATTTCTCCTTAGCTCTAAAGGTCCACCTCAAAGCCCGCCTCCTCCACCTATTTTACCCATCGGCACCTCCCTCTTTTTTTTTTTTTTTTTTTTTGAGACGAAGTCTCGCTCTGTCACCAGGCTGGAGTGCAGTCGCACAATCTCAGCTCACTGCAACCTACTCCTCCCGGGTTCAAACGATTCTCCTGCCTCAGCCTCCTGAGAGTAGCTGGGACTACAGGCGCCCGACACCACGCCCAGCTAATTTTTTGTATTTGTAGTAGGGACGGGGTTTCACCATGTTGACCGGGATGGTCTTGATCTCTTGACTTTGTGATCTGCCCGCCTTGGACTCCCAAAGTGATGGGATTACAGGCATGAGCCACTACGCCCAGCCCCACAGCACCTCCCTTTTCTACTGTTTACAGAATGGGTACACAGTCACACATTACAGCCCTTACTTGCACACCACTGTACTCTGTTCTCCAGTTGTTTGTCCTGAGTCTGCCTGAATTCCTCAAGCAGACTAATTTATCTGGGCCCAGATATTCCTCCTTCACTCCTACCAAATGTTGATGCTAGATAAATACTTACTGGTTGTTTTAATGCTTTATATACAAAAGCAAAGTAGCTAATTTCCTGAATACAAAAAAATAAAAAGGCCGGGCGCGGTGGCTCACGCCTGTAATCCCAGCACTTTGGGAGGCCGAGGCAGGCAGATCACGAGGTCAGGAGATGGAGATCCTCCTGGCTAACACAGTGAAACCCCATCTCTACTAAAAAAATAAAATAAATAAACAAAATTAGCCGGGCTTGGTGGCATGCACCTGTAGTCCCAGCTACTCAGGAGGCTGAGGCAGAAGAATCGCTTGAACCCAGGAGGTGGAGGTTGCAGTGACCAAGATCATGCCGTTGCACCCTAGACTGGGCAACAAAAGCAAACTTCCGTCTAAAAAAAACCAAAAACAAACAAACAAACTGCTAGCACAACTTAAATAGATTAAATACATATGTTTATTAAACACGGGCAGCTCATTTCTCAAGATGTCTCATATTTACAGTTTGAAAAATTTTAAATGCACTAATGTGACCCAAATAATAATTTAATCAGTAATTTTAAAATTAGAAATCCTAGATGATTAACTATATACATATATTTAAAATGACAGGTAATATTTTATATTGTTTCCATAGCAACAACTACCTCACTGTCAGGCTCACTTTCCTTCATTTTCTTGTTTTTCATGTCCTCGTCTTGGCTTTGACTAGAAGTACGCTGAAAGATAAATTATAAATGACTCACATCAATGGCAAAAAAAAGCAACATATCTTAAGAGAGTCATGCCAGCAGGTTGCAAGTGCCCCGTGTTTAGAGGCTCACAGCTGGGCTCTCCTGACCACTACCTACAACTCTCAGTGGGCAAGTCAGTCTCCAGGGTTCAGTCCTTCCTGTCACACTGTTGCTAAGCACATTTAATATATTTTGCCTTTGAAAACTTTTGGTCTTGAACTTTAAACAAATAATGTGGCTGGAAAATGTGTGGTTGCTGCCTGCCACTTCAAATGCACTATTTCATGAAGATGTTGCTAGTTCACCACAGCTGTCCTTCCAAAAGGACTGCAAAACATCTCACAGCCTGAGAAGCTTCAGGACTCAGAAAGTTTATGATGTTAAAAGAAGATAATTTATCCTTTCTAAAATCATAAAACACTGTATTAAATAAAAATGCTAAATATACAGTTATCCTCTCAAGATAAACCACCAAAACAAGGGCACAAAAAGCTAAAACTTCTCGTCCAAAAAAAACCCAACAGCAACAACAAAAAAGAACCAGAGAGAATGAAAGAGTTTACATACGCAGCTCTTAGTCTTTCTGCCCAAGGAAAGAATAAAGAGTTTTAAACACTTCAGCATTTTTTCAAACAAATGAAAACACTATTTCTGTCCCTGAAAAAGATGTGTGGCAGGCTCTTTAATGGACAAATTGAGAAATCAACAGCGTTTGGTAAGTCTGGCGACGCTGGAAATCCAGTGGCTCCCCAGACCACCACACGGCAGCACGCAGCAGGACAGGGCGGGCCCCCCGCAGGGCACTGGGCTGGCTCTCCCCCAGGGCGCCCCCGCACCTGTCCCCAGAGTTGAAAACCGCTCGGCGCGCACCATCTCGGCCCGGCCCGCCCGCGTCCTCCCCTGAGTCCCCACCGCCCAGTTACCTGTGCGCCAGCCTCCTGCGCCCCCGCCAGCTCCGCGCTCTCCAGCGTGGCCGTGGCCTGGCGGCTCAGCTCCTCCGCGAGGCACAGCCGGAGGCGGCACAGGCGGTGGCGCAGGTCGCGGTTCTCGGCCCGGAGCTGCGCCACCTCCCGCGTGAGGCACGGCCCCTCCACCTGGCAGCTGTAGGGCGCATTCAGCTGCTCGTCCCGCAGGCGCTGGACCTCCGCCCACAGCCAGCGGATGTCCTCCTCCTGCCGCTCCAGGCGCGACGCCACGGCCTCGGCCGCCAGGGTCTCGGCCGACATTGCGGCCTCCCTCAGGCACCGACGCCGAGCGGCGTGCCCAAGACTGCCGCGAGGGCGATGCGGACACTCAGCGCAGGGCAGAAGACACGGAGCCCGGGAAGGGGCGGGGCGATAGGGCGGGGCCGGAGCCGAGGCGGGGAGCGGGGCGGGGAGCTGGGCGGGGCGCTGGGCTGGGAGGGGCAGGGCCTAGGTCAGATACCCTGCTGGGGCGGGGCGGGGCCTGAGGCCAGGCCCACCGTAGGGTTAGGGGCAGCGGGGAAACGGGGTCTGAAGGGCCTCCCCTGCCTTTCCAGGCCTGTCTAGAGGCTACTGGCAGTAGCTTTTAGTCCGTTGAAAGGAAAATCTTCCAAAACCTTGCAAAAAGGCCATCATCTGCGTTCTCCAAAAGGGCTTCACCCTTTCCTCCTCTTGAATTCTGGCAGCCACCATTCTTTCGCCTTGCAAACAGGTTCTAAAAAGTGGCAATTATAAGTGGACTTTCTGGCCTTTCATGCCAAAGTTGCCCAAGTACAGAGGCCGCTGGACCAGGGCATACAGAAAATCGCTATGAAATCTAAATCTGACCAGCACGAAATTGCTAGCTCCTTGAGTCTAGGGCAAATGCCACATATATCTTTGTATCCCTCTTAACCATGAGCGTGAAACTTCCTGGAGCAGGAACACAATTTTTTATCCCTATTCTTAGGGCTTAGGATGTGACAAACACTGTTCTAAACTCTGTAATAGTAGTAACTCCTTTAATCCTCATAACAAGAGATACTGTTATATCTGCTTATAGCTGGAGAAACTGAAGCACAGAGAGACTGTGTTACTTGACTAAAGTCACACAGCCACTACATGACAAAGGTGGAATCAAGCTCAGATAGTTTGATGCCAGTTTCTACGCACTTAACACTATGGTACTTTTCAACTTTGGCAGAATTTAATCGAGCATGTCATATAATGTGATACAGGTAATAATGCCCTTAGAGTCCTAAAATGGGAGAGCTTAGCTTGGACTGGTGTGGTTTGAGAAAGGGAGAAATCGCTCTGGAAAATAAAGGTTGGGAGATGTTAGCAAGGAGGAAAGGCAGGTAAATTCCACTCCAGGAACAGAATCAGTGCAGGAGAAGGAGCGGAGGGGACAAGCTCATTGGATTAAGCTAAGTGGAATCCCAAACAGCACCTGGGAGGAGATTCCATAAAGTATGTTGCTAACCAGTATCACTGTATCTTTCTTAGTCCTTCTGTAGCAGGATGAACCGCAGACAAAACTCCTCAGACACCGGATTAAAGAAGGAAGAGGTTTTTTATTCTGTCGGGAGCATCGGCAGACTTGCGTCAAACACTTGGCCTTTTTAAAGGCTTACAATTTTAAGGGGTCCACGTGAAAGGGTCGTGATAAATTGAGCAAGCGTGGGAAACGTGACTGGGGGCTACATGCATCAGCTAACAGAACAGAAAGTTTTACAATGCTTTTTTCATACAGTGTCTGGAATTTACAGATAACACAAGCAGTTTAGGCCAGGGGTTGATGTTATTATTACTTTAACTCCTAGGGCCGGGTGGTGGTGCCAAGGTTGTCTGGCTATTTATCTTACTTTTGTTTCTTTCTCTGTTTACTCCTGACTTGTGAACTAGGCAAGGTTGGGGGAGGAGGGCAGCAGGAGTAGTGGTGGTCTCCTTCCTTACTTCCTCAGGAAGCCTCTGGATACAGTTACACAGGACCCACTGGCTCCTCATTATTCATCATTTCTCAACCCACTGCCATTGAGTTTCTGCTTCTGCCAATTCTGCCATGACCAACACATCATCGAATGTCATGGACCCACTTAAGCCACCCCAGAATTTCCTTGGGACCCTTTGGAATTTGTCTCTCTTGGGCCTCCACTCCCAATCCCTAGGCGACCACCAGTCTGCTTCCTGTCACTATAGGTTAGTTTGCATTTTCTAGATTTTCTACAAATGGAACCACACAGTATGTCCTCCTTTTGTTTAGCTACTTTCACTCGGTACAATAATTTTGATATTTACCTATGTTTGTGTGTATATATTGTAATTTTTTTCTGAGTAGTATTCCATTGTATGGATATACCATAATTTGATTATTCATTTGTTGATGGAAAAATTGGGGTTATTTCCAAGTTTTAGCTAGGATCACACAATACCCAGTGAGCCCACTGGGTTTCCAAACTCACACTGTGGTTATTTCCTCAGTTCCAGAATGCAGAGTTTGAATAGACAAACTCCAAACTGGCAGAATCCCTACAATGTTTCCCTGACAGTGGGACATAAGACTATTCTGGTAGGAAAGGCCAAGCAGAAACCACTAGAAGTTTGTCAACATACAAAAATAGTACATCAAAAGCAATACTGCATTCCTGAAGGAATTGTACAGATTAGTGCTGCCCTCAAGAACTTGAAAGATGCAGGGGAGGAGATTCTCATCACATCCCATGTACCTTACCTTACCATCCCATTTACATTTAGCCTGTGTAGAAGACAAATGGATGTTAGAGAATTATAGTAGATTAATATAAATGTAATTAGATGGTGATTACAGTTGCAGCTGCTCTTCCAGATATGATTTCATTGGTGGAGTAAATCAGCATAACCCCTAGCACCTGATATGCACCTATTGCGCTGGCTAATACTTCTTTCTTTATACCTATTAGTTAAGGGCTATCAAGCACCATTTTATTTCAGCTGACAAGGCTGGCAATACACCTTCACAGGGTATCACCTCTAGACAATATAAACTCTTTAGTTTTATGTGATAATCTAGTCTACAAGGACTTTGATGGCTGCTGTATTCCATAGGATATCATGCAGGTGTCCTATCATTGATGATAGCATGCTGATTTTCCCTGATGAGCAGGAAATAGCAAATACTATAATCACCTTGATAAGGCATGTGGAGGTCATAGAGAAGGAAACATATCCCCAAATGTAAGCATTCAGAGGGCTGTCACCTCAGTGAAATTTCTAGGCATTAAGTAGTTCAGAACATTTAGAGATGTCATTTCTCTTTTTACTAAAAGGCATAATGCCTAATTGGGCCTCTTTGGAGGCAAGATATACCTCATTTGGACATGTTTTTCTAAACCAATTACTATTTAACTCAAGACTGCCAGTGTTAAATAAGACTGAGAACCTAAGAAGATTCTGAAACAGGTAATGCTACCATGCAAGCTACTTTTCTATGTGGGCCACATGAACAACAGACCTGATGGTGCTTGAAATGTCTGTGGAAGATAAGAGTTACCCAACCTAGAGTACAGTGGTGAGATCTTGGCTCATTGCAACCTTGACCTGCTGGGCTCAAGCAACCCTCCCATCTCAGCCTCCTGAGTAGCTGGGACTACAGGTGCATACCACCATGCCCAGCTAATTAAAACAATTTTTGTAGTGATGGGGTCTTGCTATGTTGCCCAGGCTTGTCTTGAATTCCTGGCCTCAAGTGATCTTCCCACCTTGGCCTCCCAAAGTGTTGGCATTCTAGGCATGAGCCACCAAGCCTGGCCTATATAGAACTTTTACTGGGTCCTTATGGGTGAATCACAGCATAATCCTTTGGACTGGGGAGAAAAGTATGTTGTTGTCTGCAGATAACTATTCTGCTTTTGAGAAGCAGCTTCTGGTTCGCTACTGGGCCATAGCAGAGATTGAATGCTTCATCAGGGACCAGGAAATTACCATGCTACCCGAGTTTCCCTCCATGAATTGAATGTTATTCGACCCATCAAGCCATAAGGTTGGGTATATACAGCAGCATCCTATCATTAAATAAAAGAGGCATATGCCCGATCCGTCTCAAACAGATTATGTACAAGTTTTTGGCATAAACAAGTCACCCAGATGACCACAACTCCTGTGGCCTCATGAAAAGTTTTATATGCCCAGTTGACTGAGGAAGGTAAAATGTGGCCATGATTTATAGATGATTCTGCACTCTTGTGGAGCAGAAGCTTCTTTAAGTTGACTTCTGAGACATTTAATTGCTTCCTTGATTTTCAGTTTGATAAAATGTTCCAGGCTCATCTTATATTCAAGGAATCTATCATTTCTCCAAGGTGGCCCAGTAAGTTTTAATAGGAATTGTAATTTAAATCACACAATGTGGGTCCTGGCAGAAGTCCTTGTTTCTAGGACTTTTCTGTATTTAGGATTGCCAGATAAAATATACACTGCCTATTTACATTTGAACTTCAGATAAACAAAAAATAATGTTTATATAAATATGTCTCATGCAATATTTGAGACATATACTAAAAAGTTATTCAAGCAAAAAAGCATTAAATGAGACAAAGAAGGACATTTTGTAATGTTAAGTGCCACATTCCACAATGAAAATATAGTAATTATGAACATCTATGCACCTGTAATTTGAAAAAAACCACAGGAAGCTAAAGGAGAAAGAGAAACACATGAATAAAAGGGAAATAACAAGGCTGGGCACGTTGGCTCATGCCTGTGATCCCAGCACTTTGGGAGGCCGAGGTGGGCAGATCACCTGAGGTCAGGAGTTCGAGACCAGCCTGACTAATATGGAGAAATCCCGTCTCTACTAAAAATACAAAAAATTAGCTGGGCATAATGGCACATGCCTGTAATCCCAGCTACTCGGGAGGCTGAGGCAGGAGAATTGCTTGAACCTAGGAGGTGGAGGTTGTGGTGAGCTGAGATCGTGCCATTGCACTCCAGTTTGGGCAACAAGAGCGACACTCCATCTCAAAAAAAAAAAAAAAAAAAGAAAAATAACAAACCATTCTGAGTACATTCAAGTGCACACACAAAAAAGTAAGGATGTAAAAGACCCAAACAATATAATTAAAAAGTAGATATTTTGAATATATTCACATTATCAGTATGTATATATAAATATCTAACTATCTATATAAACTATACCCTGAAAATGGAAGATGCACCTTCATTTAAATAGATGTATGGATTCTTCATATCAATTAATCATATAGTAGGGCTCAAGAAAGACCTCAGTAGGTTTCATAAAGTAGAACTATTAGGTAAAACACTCTCAGCCCCTAATGCAATAAAAGTAGAAATTAAAAATAAAACAACAAAAAGCCTTTTCACATGGAAGTTTTAAAACTCTTAAGCATCTCTTTATTGAAAGGGGAAATGAAAAAGGAAAGTACAGACTTTCTTTAAAATAATGGTAATGAAAATACTACAAATCTATGCAATACATAGATCAGTAATCAGAAAAAATTCATAACTCTAACTCCTATATTGTTAAAAACAAAAGAATGGAAATAAATTCTCAATTGAAAAATCGAGAAAAATGACAGCAAAATAAAGCAATGACAATGTTCTAATAACACTAAATATACATTTCTTTTTCAACCCAGCAATCCCACTTCTAGAAATTTATTCTGAAGTTACAAGAATGCAAAAATGCATATGCACACAAATTCAATGTAAGAGTATTTGTAATTATAAAGTACTCATAGGGGATTGTTTCAATAAGCTATAGTACACAAACAAAATGGAACACTATGTAGTTGTTAAAAAAATAACTAAGAGGATCTCTGAACTGATATGGAATGATTTCCAGGAGATATTACGAAGCAAAAAAAGTAATGTTCAGGCCGGGCAGGGTGGCTCACGCAAGTAATCCCAGCACTTTGAGAGGCCAAGGCAGGCAGATCACAAGGTCAAGAGATCAAGACCATCCTGGCCAACATGGTGAAACCCCGTCTCTACTAAAAATACAAAAACTAGCTGGGCATGGTGGTGCACGCCTATAGTCCCAGCTACACAGGAGACTGAGGCAGGAGAATTGCTTGAACCCGGGAAGCAGAGGTTGGAGTGAGCCGAGATCACGCCACTGCACTCCAGCCTGGCAACAGAGTGAAACTGTCAAAAAAAAAAAAAAATTTTTTTTAAAGTGTACACACATAGTATGTTACATGGTGTATAAGAAAAAAGAGAAAATAGAAAACATGCATATATCTGCTTACCATCACAAAAAGAAACAGAAAATAAACTAGAAAACAATGAATTTGGTTATTTACAAGGAGATAACCAAGAAATAAAGGTCCCAATTTCTAATACCTTTCCCCATTAAAGGGCTCCTGGCAGAAAGGCCTATTTCAGAGCTGGGACATTGTCATAGTCCATTTATGTTGCTACAAAGAAATACCAGAGGCTGGATAATTTATAAAGAAAAGAGGTATATTTGGCTCACACCTCTGCAGGCTGTACAAGAAGCACCGCATCTGCATCTGGTGAGGGTTTCAGGAATCTTCCACTCATGGCAGAAGGCAAAGGGGAGCCCACGTGTACCAAGGTCACATGACAAGAGAGCAGAAGCAAGAGAGAGGGGACAGAGATGCCAGGCTCTTTTAAACAGTTAGTTCTCACAGGTGCTAAGAGCGGAAACTCAATCATTACTGTGAGGACAGCACCAAGCCATTCATGAGGGATCTGTCCTCATGATCCAGACACCTCCCACTAGGCCCTGCCTGCAACACTGGGGGTGAAATTTCAACATGAGATTTGGAGGGGACAATTGTCCAAATGATATCAGACATATAGGTTCAAGATAAGCCTACAGCATCTTGTTTTGCTGGAAATTAAAGAAGCGCTCTCCACAAAAATGATGGGAACATGATACAAGGACATAGGAACCAGCTCAAATGGATCCCACCAGCCAAACCAACTGAACTTCAAAAATAATTAAGTAATAAATTGTAAACCATTAAAAAATATGGAAACTCATGAGTCCAACCAATAATAGAAAAAAATGAGAGAGAAGCCAGAACTCAGTTTATAGTCTATGCTAAGGACTAAATGGCAAACACAGAGGCAAATGGGAAATTAGAAAACCATCACTTTGCCATCTTCATAGTAAAGACTGGATCAGACAAGAATAATCATGCTCAATCTAGGGAATAGTGCTGAAAAGCAGCAGGATACTGGCATGGACATAAAATGTTCCCCCACAGGCTGTTAACCAGCTGCAAGGGAGAAAACAAAAAGTAATTATACAATGGAGAAATCAGGCAATACCTTGATCAGGTGATCAAAATGAACATCACCGATGAGGAACAGGTGGACTTTATGTACCTCCAGATGTGATATTCTAAAGAAGGTATAACATCCCTGTATAGAATTTATACCAAGAATACATAATCCCAATCTAATCACAAGGGAACAGCACATAAACACAAAATGAGGAACATTTGTTTTTAATCATGGAGGGGAGAAACTGTATTCTTCAAAAATGTTTATATAATGAAAGACAAAATCTGGAATGCTCCAGATTAAATGATACTAAAGTCATGATGATTAAATGCAATATCTCACCCCAGATTGGATCCTGGAAGGGGTAAAATTGCTATAAAGAACACTATTAGACAAACTAAAAAAATTGGAATACAGATGGTATATCAGATAAAAGTATTGTGTTCATGTAAATTTATGAAGTTGATAATTGTTCTAAAGTTATATGAGATTTCCATTCTTAGTAAAAATAAGCCAAAGTATTTAGTTATGATGTATGTAACTTACATTCAAATTGTTCAGAAAAAAAAATTATAGAAGGAGAGAGAACAAATGTTAAAGCAAAGGATAAAATGTTTGCCTCAAACATAGGCTTCTTAAAACATCCTTAAGATTATGTTTACTCCCCTGGGGTAAAACCATTATGAGCTTTCTACTGCAAATAAAGTAAAATCCAAATTCTTTATCAGGACCTACCAGGCCAGCAAGATCGAGCCTCTGACGGCCTCTCTTAGATTATACCATGACCCCCACACCCTGCAACCCCCTGTGCTGGTTCATGGAGCTCTCAGATCCTCAGAAACATCCCTCTCTCTCTTGCCTCTGGGATTTTACACATTCAGTGTCTTGGCTTGATAATATCCTCTGTCCACTCTTTATATCTGACTTCTTTTCATCCTGGCCGTTTTAGCTTAGTGCCACCTCCCCACTCTATTTAAGGTAGGTCTGCCCCCATTCTCTCAGTATCCTTTTCTACTATATCATAACTGTTACCCAACATCCAGGTGCTTAGGAAGGTTATATAACCTGCAGAGTTCACATATCAACCACTTCAATTGCTGACGAAGCTACAAAACACATTTTAGTAAATAAGCATGTCAAAGAGCCCTTAGAAGACATCAATAATGTTGACTACTGTAATCAATCCAGTAGGAAATAAAAATGTTTGTTATTGCCCAACTGCAGCTTACAGTTTTAAAAAAATACTCTTCAAAATATTTTCAGGAGCCTCTAGTTTAAGAAAGTTACTATGGCTTGGGGTACAATCACTACAACTGATACCTAGCAGAATGACAACAGTAAAGGCTGAGGAAGAAGTTCCAGACATTGTCCAATTTCTCATTGCTACCTTGTTTTCTTAGAAACTTACAACTTCAGACAAGAGAACATTAATGCATTAATGAGGCTACCAAAAAAGAAAGAAAGAAAGAAAAAAGCCACATAGGCAGTGTTGTCACACATGGATTATAAAATTATATATGCCAGTCATAGTCAGTTAAAAGTACCTAAGCAAATGTGATCTAGCAGACAGAGCCTGGGAATCCAGAGGACCTTGGCTATCATATCTAATTCCCTGAGTTTGAGTCTTGCCATCTGTAAAACAAAGAAATGAAAACTTACCCAGAATGGTTAAGATTAAATGAAACCTGTGGAAACACTGGATACTTTGTAGGCTTTTAAGTGTCTGTCTAAAAAATAATAATTCACTAGGAAACTGCAAAGAATAACTGTAAATTTCCATGTTTAAGTCCAAATTGTGTTGTAAGCATATTTACTTTAAGCAAGTAAGCAAGGTAAACTATGTGCACAAGTGTGATTTTCGTTGTTTAAAATGATTTTCAATGTATAAGGTGACTCAAATGGGATCTAATAAGGCACCTCACTTCACTTGGTCAGGAACAATTTCCTGGGTGTCTCTGACCACGAAAAGAGATGAAGAGAAAGAAGCAGGTTTACAAAGGACAAAAAAGGAAGACACAGGATTAGAATGGGTTAACAAGGCAAAGAATAAACCTTCCCAAAGTGAGCAATGAAGCAAGCGGAAACAAGGAAGGTTGAACAAGAGATTAGGATCCACCAAAAATTCTCATGCTTAAAAGGAAGCCAAGCCCCATTTGTTATGCACCCAATACGCTCTGTTTGTACTAACTACATAAAGAAGATGAGGCAGGGCGATCTGGACACAGACCTGGACACTCTGACCTCTGGCACAGAAGGGGCTACAGGATTGCTGGGGGAGAGAGGCAGCAGGGTAGTGGAGTCATACCAAGCAACAAGAAAGACAAGGTAGTACATTTTCCACAAATTTCAATTTTACTCCCTTCCCTCATGACACACACACAAAAAGCATTTGAAGTATGGGAGGAAGAAACTGAGATCACAGGGAAAATAGTAAAAGACATTCAAAAGGGCAGGTCTTAGAAATTTACCAGTTTAGGGAGGTCAGAGAACAGTAGCATACAAAAGAATGCTAAGACAGTTCCCAGGTTTAGGCATGGGAGACTAGTTTGATTATTTCATTTTGTCCCACTCACAATGACAAGGAGAATTATTGAGGGAACACATGATGGGGCTGATAGAGTGCTAGAAGGTGGATACATGAAAATGTAATTGTCATCATTTTGAACAGCCATGTCACTACAAGTGAGATTCCCTAACATATATGATATACAGACAAATATATGAGTTTGAAACTCTGGAGATGAATGCGAATTTGGGAATCCCTGGAACACAGGTCATGACTTCAGTAATGGGAGTCAAAGATTACTCAGAGAAAGCACAGAATGAGAAGAGAAGAAAGAAGTAGGCCAAGGAAGAAGAGATCAGAGGAGACCAAGGCAGGGTGATCAGATCAAAACAGAGGAAAGGAATCTGATGGAAGTCCCATTAGATTATCATGTCCCTTCCCAGAGGACAGGGACATGCCTTTTTTGTCTTTTATACCCAATTATCACAGGGCCTGGCACAGAAGCCACTCAATGTTTTTTTTAATTGTGTTCTACTATTCACAGTTTGCTGTATCCACCAGATGAGAAAAAAGTAAGTATAAATAAGCACAGATACGGATTTTTTAATACTGTATACTAAAGGGGCCAGATTATACACAATATTTTATGCCTTACTTTTTTACTTAATATATCTTAGAAGTTTGCACATGCTTATGGAAGGACTGGCTGCATTTCTTTTGATCTACAACAGAATATTCTATTATAAAACTGCACACTATAATTTTTATTTAACCAACTCTTTTTTTTTTTTTTTTTTTTTTTTTTTGAGACGGAGTCTCGCTCTGTTGCCCAGACTGGAGTGCAGTGGCCAGATCTCAGCTCACTGCAACCTCCGCCTCCCGGGTTTATGCTATTCTCCTGCCTCAGCCTCCTGAGTAGCTGGGACTACAGGCGCCCACCACCTCGCCCGGCTAGTTTTTTGTATTTTTTAGTAGAGACGAGGTTTCACCAGGTTAGCCAGGATGGTCTCGATCTCCTGACCTTGTGATCCGCCCGTCTCGGCCTCCCAAAGTGCTGGGATTACAGGCTTGAGCCACCGCGCCCGGCCTTAACCAACTCTTTATTGGTGGACATTAAGAATGGAGGAATGTTTCAACAAGGGAACAATCAATAGTATCACAATACTGCAGAGGGGTCAATTTGGGGACTAAGAGAGGAGCCACTAGATTTGGCAACTGGGAGATAAATTTTAGTGCAATGATGAGGGCAGAATCCAGATTACAATGAATTCAGTGAAAAAAGGTGAAGACATGTAGCTTATTCTCTCAAGAAACTAGACTATGATAAACTGGCAAAGGCTGTAAGAGTGGGAGGTAAGTCGTTTTCTCCTTCGTGTAAATATATTTACTTTTTAAAACGCTAGGCCCAATTTTATGTCCTACTTCATTTAACTTTATGGACATGTTTATGTAATGTTTTAGACAGTGAAAAATAACTCATTTCTGCTATTATAAAACTGCTATCTTTAGATGTTCACAAGCAACTTCCTAAAAGGAGGTAGCAGTAATGGAGCTATGTCTATCATTCTTTCCCATCAACCCCCTTTCTGGAGATGTAAACTTGTGTCTATCTAGCTTTTAATTAATTTTTTCCTCTTATCTTCATGGCTCTCCATATAAACCTTAACTCTTTTTTTGTATATGTATATGTATATGTATATCTATATCTAGAGAGAGAGAGAGAGAGAAGAGGGGGTCTTGCCATATTGCCCAGGCTGATCTCAAACTCCTGGGCTCAAGCACTCCTTCCAACTTGGCCTCGCAAAGTGCTGGGATTATAGGCGTGAACCACTGTGCCCAGCCTCAGCCTTAACTCTTAAAATACCTTCAAACCCATGTTCTTCAGTTCTTATTTTTAAGAATATTTGTGTTTAAACCAACTATAATTTATTTTGACAAAAATTGGAGTTAAGACTCAAACTTCCTCAAATGGTCAGCTCTCCTAAGACTATTTACAGAATAATCTATCTTTTCCCTATTAAGTTAAAATACCATCTTTATCTTATACTAAATTATCATTAGCATGACTCTGGTTCTAAACTTCCATTGCCTTTATCTGTCTGGCCCAGGGCTATTCCACAATATTTTATTTAATATCTGGTTGAACAAATCTATTCTTTATTATTTTTTATTACTTACTCTTCTAAACAAACTTTAGAGTCATTTTGTCAAGTTCCAAAAATAAATCTACAGGGAATTTTTTTTTTTTGTTTTTTGAGACAGGGTCTCATTCTGTCACCTACGCTGGAGTTCAGAGGCATGATCTCGGCTCACTGCAATCTCTGCCTCCCAGGCTCAAGTGATCCTCTCACCTCAGGCTCCTGAGTAGTTGGGACTACAAGTGTGTACCACCACACCTAGCTAATTGTCATCTACCTGCCTCAGCTTCCCAAACTTTTGGGATTACTAGTGTGAGATACTGTGCCCAGCAGAAATTACATTTATAAATTAATATGAAGACATGGTGATAACTAACATATTTATAATATGAAATCTACTCATCCAGGGACATAGAATGCAAATCTTTCATTCCACTCAGCAAAATTTTGTCATGTTCTTGATAAAAGTCCTGCACATGTAAGTTTATTCCTAGGTATTTAATTTTTGCTGAAATACTTGAAAAAAATACTTTACCACTATATCACCTATGTGATTATAGATAATATTGGGGAAGGCTATTGATTTTTATATAACAGAGCTTTTAACCAGCAATCTTAAAAATTGTTTTTTTTTCAGTTGGTTCCTTTGGATATTTTTAGGTAAACAATCATGTCAACTTAAAATAATGATTGTTAGTTTTCTATAAAGATTATGACATCATAGGAAAATACAGTAAATGCTTTTTTTTTAGTTTTTAATTTTTAAATTTTTTGGAGATGGAGTCTTATTCTGTCACCCAGGCTGGAGTGCAATGGCACGATCTCGGCTTACTGCAAGCTCTGTCTCCCAGGTTCACACCATCCTCCTGTCTCAGTCTCCTGAGTAGCTGGGACTACAGGTGCACCTGCCACCATGCCTGGCTAATTTTTGTATTTTTAGTAGAGATGGGGTTTCATCGTGTTAGCCAGGATGGTCTCGATCTCCTGGCCTCATGATCTGCTTGCCTCGGCCTCCCAAAGTGCTGGGATTACAGGTGTGAGCCACCACGCCTGGCCTAGTAAATGCTTTTTAAAAGAATATAAAAATATAGAGAATATGACCTCAACTATTTAAACATATGTATAAGGGTTTTGTATTTTACTAGCAAAGAAAAAATACATAAGGGTAGAAAATAGCCATCATGTCAACAGTCATTATATTAGGTAGAAAAATTATGAGAGACTTTATTTTTTTTCTTTTCTTTTCTATATTTTACAATAGATTGCTTATGAGTTTTATATGCTTATGGTTGCTTATGAGTTTTATAGTAAAGGTTTTTAAAATTTTTACAACATGGAAAGTTATACTTCTTTATATACTAAAAACAAAAACAAAACTTTCTATTTGAATACCTTTGACTTTTACCTTAGACTTACCCTTGAAAGAAAAGGCAATTCCCTCACACTAGTACTGGTGTGACTCCACCCATCTCTCCCTTCACTTCTACCTTGGTCTTTTTTCCACCTCCCACCTTGGCTAGTCGTCTCTACCCAAAATGCTTGCTTGGCTTAATGGTTAGAATTCAGGGAAAAAGAGATCTTGAATTCCTAATCTTAACTAAGGTTATACATGAGGGAAATAATAAAGAGAAACTAGGTAGTAAATAAGATTTGAAGGACTTAAAATACCCAGACTTTAATTTCTGTAAGATTATAGTCATTAATCATGCTTTTATATCATATTATCTCTTAACATTTAATTTCTAAATATAATGTTCATGAGGAAAAGAGAAAATAGCTTGGCTTCCTTCCTTACTGAATGGTTGTTCTTGGTATCTTCTAGGTGTTCCAGAACTGATGTCAGATTTGGCTCATCAGAGTCCACAAACGATATTGGTGAAGAAGATGAATAGGATTCTTGTTTAGCACAGAGACACCTGTGTTAAACGTTTACATACAGACTAACCCAAATACGCAACTAAACCACACCACTAAATGGCAAGATGACCATGGATTTAAACAAAATGTATGGGGGAAACAGCAACACATTAAAACCCATGTGAGGAGCTGGACTTTTGAGACAGCCATTCTCCTTGCATAGCACTGTCTGCTGCTACAGCTCATAGAAGTCAACAATTTTCTTCAACACTGGTAGGCAGCCTCTAAATGGCCCCGATCACCCTCACCTCCTGCCATTCATAGCCTTGTAAAATTCCTGCCCCTGGACCTAGTGACTCACTTCTAACAAAGAGAATGCAGCAAAAGTAATAACATCACTTTTGAGATTAGGCTACAAGGAGACTATGATGCCTGCCTTGGTCACCCTTCTCCTGCTCTCTCCATTGCTCCCTCTGATGGAAGCCAGTTGCCACGTCATGAGTTGCCCTATGGAGAGGCCCACACGGCAAGGTATTGTAAAAGTCCTCTGACCAACAGCCATCTAGAAACGGAGGCCCAGTCCAACAGCCTGTGAGAAAAATCCTGCCAACGTGAGCTTGGAGACAGATTCTCTCCCTATCCTGCCTTGGGATGATCATAGCCACCACCAACACCTTCACTGCCTGGTGAGTGGCCAAGCCAGTAAACCCAAGGTAAGCTGCACAGAATCCTGACCCACAGAAACTGTGAGATAATGTTTGTGGTTTTAAGCGGCTAAATTTGTTACAGAGCAATAGATAACTAATTCAAACACCATAAAATTAGAATATTTTATTCTATCACACAAACCAAGTAATACCAAGAAATGCCATTACTATACATATATTTTTGGAACACAATTACATGTGATTTTTTTAAAAAAGCTAATGAACTAAGCATTATGTGCTTTTACCCACTAGCAGACATTTACTCTGTTACTTTGTATTGTTTTCCATTATAAATTGGGGAGAAGCCATTATTATATATTAGCTTCAGAACAACTAGGTTCAAGTCATGGAAAACAATTTCGCACCAACAACTTTAGGAAATACTGCTTTGAAAACTATAATCTGAATTATAGCTGAAGCCACAGAAGCCAAATATTTACCAAAGGTTCTATTAAGAAAAACAAGTTGGCCGGGCATGGTGGCTCACGCCTATAATCCCAGCACTTTGGGAGGCTGAGGTGGGTGGATCATGAAGTCAGGTGATCGAGACCATACTGGCCAACATGGTGAAACCCTGTCTCTACTAAAAAAAAAAAAAAAAAAAAACAAATTAGCCAGGCATGGTGGCACACACCTGTTGTCCCAGCTACTCAGAAGGCTGACACAGGGGAATCGCTTGAACCAGGGAGGCGGAGGTTGCAGTGACCTGAGATTGCACCACTGCACTCCAGCCTGGTGACAGAGAAAGACTCTGTCCCCCCGCCAAAAAAAAGAAAAAAGAAAAACAAGTTGTGTTGAAGGAGGACATCATTAACAGTAATAATGATTTAGTTCTTCAATAATTAGATCTTCAATAATGGTTTAGTTTACTATTCTCATTCTTCTCATTCCTCTCTTACTGTGTGCCAAATCTCTTTACAGGCTAAAAGAAACTCTTCAGAATTAATCCTATTCATAAAGAACACCACTTACTGAGTATTGCACTTTCTTCTTCAAATTCTTCAGCATACATTGGGAATACATCCTATGGATCATTTTTATGTGTTTAGTTTTGGGTTTCTTTTTTTTTGGCTAAAGAAACTGCAACTCAATTTAGGACCTCATTCCATTAGATTAGTATTTGTCTAATAAAGTTCAGCATAAGCAAAATAAAATACGTGTTGTTGCTCTGGACTGAACCCCTCAAAACCATATTTTAAAAATTACAAAAAAAATTAACTGAAATCATGTTTTTAAAAATCTTGCAGATGAAAAGATATGATATATAGTAGGTTTAAGTACCTATTTCAATGGTTCCCAAAGTGCGGCCCTCAGACGCCCAGGTCCAAACTATGTTAACAGGAATACTAACATGGTGACATTTGCTGTAAGGGTGCAAATACAATAGCGGGTAAAAATGCTGGTACTTTAGCACAAACCAAGGCAGTAACACCAAACTACTAGTAGTCATGGTATTCTTCACTATGCACAGGAAAGGTTTAAAAAGGAAGGGCAGGCCAGGCATGGTGTCTCAGGCCAGTAATCCCAGCACTTTGGGAGGCTGAGGCAGGTGGATCACCTGAGGTCAGGAGTTTGAGACCAGCCTGGCCAACATAGTGAAACCCTATCTCTACAAAAAATACAAAATTTAGCTGGACATTGTGATTGTATGCCTGTAGTCCCAGGTACTTGGAAAGCTGAGGCAGGAGGATGGCACCCAGAAGGTTGAGGCTACAGTGAGCTGTGATCATGCTACTGCACTCCAGCCTGGGTGACAGAACAAGGCCTTGTCTCAAAAATAAAAAGAATGTCTATGATGAAGCAGTGAAAATTTTACTACATTTTAATCCTTGAATATGTCTTTTTGATATTTCAAGTGATGAAACTGGAAGTACACAGCAGCATTCCTACAGACTGTCTGAGAAAAAACCCTCGTGTGACTAAGTCGTGCAGTGAATTAACCACTTTAATGGAATACCATTTTTACTTGAAAGGATGACTGACAAACAATATTATTTCAACGTGGCTTTTTGGGAGACATTTTCTCAAAAAATGAGATTCTGTCATTTCAAGAAAAACAATAGACAGGCCATAATAAAATTCAATAATAAAATTGCTAATAATAAAATTCAAGCTTTTGAACAAAAAATTAGAATTTTAGAAAACTTATATCCACCATAGCTTTCCAAAAGTATTCTGATGAGATTGATGGTGATATTGATGAATGTATTTTGATACTGTATAATCAAATGTATCAACATGTAGAAGATCTCGGTGAACCATTATTTTCTAAATGACCAATGCATGATGTTATAATGTCATGCAAGGGTAAAAGATCCAAAGTTCAAGAAAAACCAAGTTTTGATGGAGTATCAAAAAAGAAGTGTAGGCAACATGGCAAAACCCTGTCTCTACAAAAAGATACAAAAAATTAGCCAGGTGTGGTGATACACACCTGTAGTCCCAACTACTCTGCAGGCTGAGGTGGGAGGATCATCTGAGTCCCCGGAGACTGAGGCTGCAGTGAGCTGTGATCACACCACTGCATTCCAACCTGGGAGACTGGACATTGTTCACATTTTTTCAAGCAAATATCACACAATAAATTGAATGCAGATAAAAATGACATACCAAACATCAAAGAAATTTGCAAAAAATGTAAGATTGTGCTACTTTGGGTTTAGAAATTTTTTCATAAGCATTTATAACAAATGTGGTGAGCTTTTAAAGAATAGTTTAAGTATTTCTGATTTAATTTCTAGTGATAAATAGCAATACATATAATCTACATAAACCAAAGCTCCTTGGGCCCTCAATATATTTTTAAGAGTGTAAAGGAGTCCTGATTACAAAACTTTGAGAACTGCTGCCTTCTCCTCAACTTTCCTTCCTTCCCTAGAATTTCTTCCTTGGAAGAAACATCCCTTTGCTGTTCTACATTAACTTATAGAGTTCCATTGATGTCAGTTTTGCTACATCCCTCCCATCTTTGCACGTCCCTCTCTGGACACAAAACGTGACCACATGACTCGACCAGCCCACCCATTTCTAGTGATCAGCTGTAAAGGTGGGCTAAGCCAAGAAAATCTGGGCTTTCCCTGAGACTAAACTTCTCTTTCTGGGAGATCTGGAATCACAGGGACAAGGTTGGCCACCTTGGGGTAGTCAGAATTTATCTTGCCTCAACGGGGAGAAGTTAGGCAAGTTTCTAGAGAGCCAAACTGCCTTCTAGAAAATTAAAGATAATTATACTTTCTGCCATGACTGTGAGAATGTCCATTTTATTGCACACTTTCTAACATTCTTACCAAACTGATAAATACAAGTTGGTACCTAGAAGAAAAAATGCCAGGCATGGTGGCTCACACCTGTCATCCCAGCACTTTGGGAGGCCAAGGCAGGCAGATCACCTGAGGTCAGGAGTTAAGAGACCAGCCTGGCCAACATGGTGAAACCCCGTCTCTATTAAAAATACAAAAATTAGCTGGGTGTGGTGGCAGGCACCTGTAATCCCAGCTACTGGGGAGGTGGAGGCAGGAGAATCACTTGAACATGGGAGGTGGAGGTTGCAGTGAGCCGAGATCATGCCATTGCACTCCAGTCTGGGCGACAAGAGTGAGACTTCATCTCAAAAAAAGTTTCCATATAATTTGTTTCATCTCTAGAAACCAATTCAGCAATGAGAACTGAAAGCCACCACTTGGAAGGTTTCAAGCATTTAGCTCTACCTATTGATGTCTAAAGCATTAGTTGAGGTAGAAACACACACACACACACACACACACACACACACACACACACACACCCCATGTATTCAGTACCAGGAAACATGACTGACTAGATGGTACAGTCATCCAACAGAAAGCGCACAATACCTGAAGCCATTGTAGAGGAGTAAGTTATGACACGGATCTACAATATCGTTGAGTGAATAAGCAGATTACAAAAAAAATCTGATTTTTCAAGGGAGAGGGAACATACGCAAGCATAGGAGAAAAGAGATGAGCAGATGACTGGAAAAATACAAAATTCCGATAGTGGTACTTTCTGAGTGGTAGAATTATCAGTAATATTTTCTAGTTTTACCTAAAAATTTTCTAGATTTCTTAAAATAAGAAGGTTTTGTTGTACATATTATAAAATATCCACCACCCCAGGAAACTTAACCTTCAGCACAAACTCTGCAATATGTTAAAAGTTTGTTCGGTTTTATATTTAAGAGACAATCTATTTTGAAAGATATCTAAAATGATGACCAATATTTAAACCTATGCATTAATATTTTTTAATCATATGCTTTAAATTTTGTAATTTTGATAAGGTTAAGCTTCATATCAATCTTGAAAAGGTAAGTTTTCCATTTGTCTTTAAAATATGACCTGCAATATGCCAGTTTTTAAACAGCAAATGGGGCTCAAAAATCGCAATATAAATTCAGGCAGTGTTCCTTACTTAGAATGTTGAAGTGCTTCTAACACTGCTCTTTTTCACCGGTTATGAAAACACATTACAATTATCTAGCATCTAATTATTCAGGTCCTTTGTTTCTCCTCCATTCTATTAGTTTTATAGTAATTTTAAGGCCTGTGAGGATGAAGTTGTCTGTGATGGCTACCACAAAGGTTACTGTAAGTGGACAAATTTCAAACAAGTTTATCACGACTACCATCCCCACTATAAAACTGTCTTAATCAAGGGCAACACATTTCAAGGTTAACCAAGACAACCTCTTTACCTGTCACTGCTTAAGAAAAGGATTTTTTGGTCTTATTTAGAAATAACTTTTTGTATCTATTTTTCTCTATAAATCCACTGAGACCAATGTGTGGCTCTATCTCAAACACCAGCAAGCTAAACTGCTTGCCAGAATGTTCAGTTTTTGTATCTTTCCGAAGGTAAGACACAGCTCTCTTTTGATATCATAATTTTTTGAAAATTGATGCACAAACTTCTTCTTGAAAGTTCAGCCAGGCACGGTGGCTCGCACCTGTAATCCCAGCACTTTAGGAGGTTGAGGGAGGTGTATCACGAGGTCAGGAGTTTAAAACCAGTCTGGCCAAGATGGTGAAACCCTGTCTCTACTAAAATTACAAAAATGAGCCAAGTGGTGGCAGGTGCCTGTAATCCCAGCTACTCAGGAGGCTGAGGCAGGAGAATCGCTTGAACCTGGGTGGCGGAGGTTGCAGTGAGATGAGATTGTGCCACTGCACTCCAGCCTGGGTGACAGAGTGAGAATCCGTCTCAAAAATAAATAAATAAAAGTAAAAGAAAAGACAAGACAAGAAAGTTCAGACATATAGCACCTGTAATTCTTCTGAAGGCTGGTTATGGGACACATTACTTTCATACTTTGTTGTTCAATAAATGTAGGGTAGAGAATAAAGTAAACTGACAGAATTACCATATAAACTAAAATTCTAAGTGCTCTGACAACAAAAGAAACTTAAAATACACACACACACACGGTTTTCCCTGCTAATCATTTTACAACTAAACAACCAAGTAGCTAACTCAGAGCTCACAAAAGTAAAAATTCTAACACTTGGTGAAATAAAAATGCACATATTCCCCTCTGAGCTAAAAAAAAAAATGCTTAAGTCTTCAAAGACAGCAGCAATTACAGCTACTGAGGACATCATTGTAAGCAAACTGAGGCAGAGAAAACAAAGGTGCTGATGAGGAATTGAACCACCTAAGCTGCAGAAACCCACTGGATGGTTTCCTAGGTTCCAAGTTGGCATTATCTTTCAGAATGATTTCTAAAAGAGATACATAATACTGTTACAAAGGATCTGGAGAAAGGGACCCTTGCTTTATCACTCTGGCACTCCAGTCATGCTTTACATTTTCACTTCTTACATTCTCTTTCATATGAAGTCAATTTACAGACTTCTATCAAGCCCTTAGAGACCTTTTTGTACACAAGTTCTTGACGTTATCTCTGCACTTTTGACAAATTCTTAGCAGTTAACTTACAAGGCAGTTAAGATTTTTGTTCAAGTACAATATAGTTAGAATAGGTTCATATACTCAATAAAACAAATATTTACTAAGCATTTATTGAGTGGAAGATAAAAAGCACAAAGCATAATTATAAAATATTTTCCCCTGCCACCATAAAAAAAACGTAAAAAGGCTTACAGAATATAGCATAACATGACCAAAGCAAAAATAGCAAGGACTAAAGAGGGGAGGAAGGGAAAACATCAGTATGAACTGAATATGACCCAGAAGAGCCTTGATGCTCAGACATGTAAAGACAAATTGGGTAGGGTTAAGGGGTGGAGGTCAGGGACACATTCTACAGGGGAAAAACAGCTGACACAGAAGCCTGAAAGGAAAAGTGGGCAGAGCACCTATACAGGACTCTTACCTGCCGCCTCGACGGTACAATGGACCTTTCCAGAACACAGCAGCGGCCTGGCCCGGGGAGAGGGATCGCTCAAACAGCACCAGAGGCTGCATTCCAACTTTTCCTCCGTCAACGAGTCTGTCTTCATTGTTAGTTTCTCCTTAAACACAAACTTAAAAACAACTGGCTGAACACGCGGGAACAAGGAAAATCTGACTGAAGAATGAGGCCTTAAAACTTAAGGGCCTTGGGTCCTGGTGCTGTGGCTCCTGCCTGGAATCCCAGCGCTTTGAGAGGCAGAGGTGGGTCATTTAACGTCAGGAGTTCGAGACCAGCCTGGCCAACACGGTGAAACCCTGTGGGCGCCTGTAATCCCAGCTACCCGGGAGGCTGACGCAGGAGAATCGCTTTAACCGAGATCGCGCCACTGCACTCCAGCTTGGGCGACAGAGTGAGACTGTCGCAAAAAAAAAAAAAAAAAGAAAAAAAAAAATTCTGCCTCCCAAGTAGCTGGGATTAAGGCGCCTGACACCATGCCCGGCTAATTTTTGTATTTTTTAGTAGAGACGGGGTTTCACCATCTTGGCCAGGCTGGTCTCCAACTCCTGACCTCAAATGATCCGCCCTCCGTGGCCTCCCAAAGTGCTGGGATTACGGGCGTGAGCCACCGCGCCCGGTCAAAACACCCGAAAATCTTAAAGGCCTTTTCCCTTCTGTGCCTGGGCTCAAACGACGCCAGAACCTCCCTGCCGCACCCTGTCACGGTCCCGGGAGCAGGCCGGCTGACTGAGAGAGACCTTGGGTCCCGAGAGGGCTCCTGCCGCGCGGGCTCCCACCTCCGGGAGCGGCGACCGGGGCCAACTCAGGCCGGCAGCCCCCAAGCAAGCCCCGCGTGAAGAGCCGGAGAGACGCGCCCTCCGCCTCCTCCCACCCAAGCCTTGCGCAGTCCCAGGGGCCGGGGCCGGGCTTGTCGCGGGAGAAAAAGGCGGAGAACCGGGGCCTCTCCGGGGCAGGCTCCCCTTTGTCCTGGGACTCCGGGCGCCCCCTCTCCGCCCTCGCCCTGCCCCGCGAGGCCGCCGCCGGGCGCCTCGCCCTGATATTGCAGTGGAGCCCTGAGCGGCGACTGGGCTCCTGGTTCTTGTGGAACACAGAACAGCCAGCAACTTCAGTTTGGCCTTGAACCCCGACACCGACGTCTTCCTCTCCTGTCCAGCAGGAGGGGCGCGGAAGGGGCAGCCTGTCGGGGGCAGCTGTCATTGCCGCGACCACCCGGCGACCGAGCTCTGGAGGCTCCGCCTCTCCCAGCCGCCTCAACCTTTGTGGGAGAGCGGATGGAAAATGGCAAGGGGCACAGAGGCCTCCGCGGGAAGCTGTGTGGCGGCCTGGGGGGCTGCTCCCTTTGTAACCCACTCCACCAACAGGAGGGGCGGCTCCTGTCAAGCCGCAGCTTAAAAGGGCAACAGCACCACCGTCCCCGCCATCGCCTGGGAAAGGGCTGCCCCCACCCTGCCACCGTCCGCGTCACCCCTCACCCCTCACCTCTAACCCTTCAACCCGGCGAGCCCCGCGCGCACGCGTTTCACAAATCCAGAGCGTGAGCGGGCTGCCGGCTGCCCCCTTCTCACCTTGACCCAGCACCTTTCTGCCCGACCAGTCTGCTCCCACCCTTCCTCACACTGGAAGCTCAGGGCGGTACGACCACCAACTCTGTGTGTGTGTGTGTGTGTCTCCCGAGAGAGAGAGTGTGTGTGTGTGTGTGTGTGTGTGTGTGTGTGTCCCAAGGGAACAGAGCACTGCTGAGTTCAGGCTGATTTTTAGCTCGTGGACTGTCAATAAAATACAGTCACAAGAAGGTATATGCTGTTTTGTCTTGCAGTGACATCACCTTGCTCATGTTTTATGTTTTTCAGTGTTCATTCGTTTCTATTTGTTCTCAGTTAATATCCAGCTGAATAGATTGTGTAAGTAGAATACCCCCAAACTGAAAGCCACTTACATAAAGTATAGTGAAAAATATGTCATCCGCTTAAACTATAGTTGAAGATGTGTATACACTAGTTTTGTGTAGCCAACCCTAGATAATGGATAAGGGCACAGGGTCCCGGGGCTAGACTGCCTGGGTTCAAGTTCCAACTTAGCCACTTGCTGGCTGTGAAATACTTGACAGCTTTAAGCCTCAATTTCTTTTTTTTCTTTCTTTTTTTTTTAACATAATCCCAAATGTGATAGTTTCTTGATCTGAAAAACAGAAATTATTCAATCAGAGTCTACATGAAAACTAAACTTTTTGAAGCCACTGCTTGGCTCAGGAAAGTCCTCAGCTTTAGCCGTTATTAGCTATGATTATTATTGTGTTGGCTACATGTGCATTAACGAGTCAGGAAAATGCTCAAGGATAGCAACCAAGTATCCAAATTATCTCACCAGACTGAGAGAGAGGCATGTGTGCATGCTCATGTTTCAGCTCAGAGCCTTTTGACTAGAAGGTTCTTGAACTCAGAGGCCCAGGCATTATCAACTTGACTTTGCAGTGGAGCCATCACTTTTGTTGATTAATAAAATTGACATAATGCTCTCTTTTTTTGTTTTTTTGTTTTTTTGTTTTTGTTTTTTTTGCACCAACCATGTGCCTAGAGCTAACTGTGTCAAGAGCATGCTTCAGTTGGCTGGAGTGAGCAATTCAACTTGTGAGGAATGAGAAATGTTAGAGTTGAGACAAGAAACATAAAACCCCAGGGTAAGGTAGGAATCACTGAAAGTCAGGCAAAGGAACTGGCATCCAGTAATGAGTTAGGCTTTGCCAGCCTCTGGCCCTATAGATGGCTCTTTGGAGAGGAAAATATTAAGCCAGGCCTGAAGGCACAGATCCTAAGGGAATGCTGGCAGCTCTAGGCTGTCTATGGAAGAGAAGCAGAGGGTGGCACCTGGTTGAAAGAGGAGGCTGGGGGACATAGCTTGAGCCTGTGTTTATAGATAGAGTCCGCTGATTCCTGCGACTGGGGAAGGAGATCATGCCCGGATCAGGGGACCTCAAATCAGAACTCTTCCCACCCACACCGCTTCTTTTCAGGGCATCTTTCATTGCAGACAACAGATAAACTAGTTGGAAAGCTCAGCAGATTCTCATGGTGGTGCCTAGCAGACCAGGCCTAGCTGCCCTTTAACCTGTAACTGAGGATGATGCCACTGGCCTGTAAGCACACATTGGAAAATCTGTACATCCATGGACACGCCATGCCCACAGAGATAGCTGTGCATGGTTCTTTAGGTTTGGGGTGCTGTTCTGGCAGTCGCCTTATAAATATGATAATTAAAATGGGACGCCCTGGAACTTAGCTAACCTTTACCCCCCCCCAAAATGAAGGGGCGCTAGTTTTGTTAGCTTTATGAAAGATGGATCTGTCATTGTTTTTAGAACTTTTGGAGAAAGATTTCTTGGGAGGAAGCTATCCTGAACCCCCAGAGATTTTCTCATTTACTGGCACACCAGCTTTAGAGTCCTAGGTCTTCATCCTGGCTCAGCCACCCTCCAGCTGTGTGAACTTTGAGAAGTTGCTTGACTCCACTGAGTCTCATTGTCACCTATGAGTGAAGGTTGCTACATTGCTACTGTGTGGAGCACCTACCCCCAGGCAGTCTTATAGGGTGATGGTGAAGATTAAATGCAATAGTAAGGCTGAAGGAGGAGGATCGCTTGAAGCCAGGAGTTCGAGACTAGCCTGGGCAACAAAGCGAGACATCATTTCTACGAAAATGTTTCTTAAAAAATGAGCTGGACTTGGTGGCTTATGCCTGTAGTCCCAGCTCCTCAGGAGGCTGAGGTGAGACCACTTGAGCCCAGGAGTTTGAGGCTGCAGTGAGCTGTGATCGTACAACTGTCCGGGCAACAGAGAGAGAACCTATCTCAAATAAATGAATAAGTAAATAAATAAATAAAATAATAAAATAATGCATGCAATTAGTACACTAGTGCATGATCAGGCACATGATAAATGCTCGATAAATGGGAGCCCCAATAAGCTTTGTAATGTTTTGGGAGAGAGTGTCCTTTGGACTCAGCCCAGTGACAGAAGCATTTGAAGAGACTGATGTGTATGATGGCTGTTTCCTACAGGTACAAGCCTGTACCTCCAGGGACCCAAGGCATTGGCTCAATGGGGCACTTTGTTCTATTTACTCTTGTTTTGGGCAGCACCGATTGCCCTAGGGCTAAGCAGGACTGCCACCACAGATTGCCAAGAGTGTCCCCCTCCCCAAGCTAGCCATGGGAAAGCCACTTGCTTCATAAGACTACAGGAAATCAAAGGAAATAAAAAGCAAAATTTAGTCACCTACTCTCCAGTTGATGGGCAATAGGTTTTTGTTATTTTGAACAGAGCTATTAGGAACATCCCTTGTCCACATACCCTGTTTTATATAGGCAAGAATTTCTCTTGGATATAGAGTAGAATTGATGGGCTGGGAGGAGTGTGAATACTTAACCTTATGAGAGGGAGCCAAACTGTTTTCCAAGGTGGTCATACCAGTGTATACTCCCAGCAGCAGTTCTTAAGAGATCTTAGGATCTCTATCTTTTGGTGAGGTCACAAGCAGTCAAAAAGAATGAATGCCAGCTATAAACAATAATAAGAATCTTAGCAATATAATATTAAGTGAAGAAAACAAATTCCAGAAGGATGCATACAGCATACTTTATATAACTTGGAAAAGAAAATGTGTAAGCCAGGCATGGTGGCACATGCCTGTACTCCTGGCACTTTGGGAGGCCAAGGTAGGAGGATTGCTTGAGGCCAGGAGTTCAAGACCAGCCTAAGCAACATAGCAAAACCCTGTCTCTACAAAAACTAGAAAAATTAGCCAGATGTGGTGGTGCAGGCTTGTAGTCCCAGCTACTCATGAGGCTGAGGTGGGAGGATCTCTTGAGTTTAGGTGTTTAAGGTTACAGTGAATCATGATTGCACCGCTGTACTCCAGCCTGGGCAACAGAATGAGATCTTGTCTCAAATAAATAAATAAATAAGTAAAATTTAAAAACAAAATATGGGCCGGGAGCAGTGTCTTACGCCTGTAATCCCAGCACTTTGGGGGGCCGAGATGGGCAGCTCATGAGGTCAGGAGTTCAAGACCAGCCTGATCAACATGGTGAAATGACATCTCCACTAAAAATACAAAAATTAGCCGGGCGTGGTGGTGCACGCCTGTAATCCCAGCTACTCAGGAGGCTGAGGCAGGAGAATGGCATGAACCTGGGAGGTGGAGCTTGCAGTGAGCCGAGATCAAGCCACTGCACTCCAGCCTGGGCGATAGAGCGAGTCTCAAAAACAAAACAAAACAAAACAAAACAAAACAACAACAGCAAAAAACCCTCAAAGATCACTAGTGGCTATTACCAGCATCCATATGCAAAGAAATAGGAAAACCTACTAAAAATGGGTAAATTTCTGGACACATCCAGACTACCAAGATTGAACCAGGATGAAATCCAAAACCTGAACAGATCAATAACAAATAATGGGATCGAAGCGGTAATAAAAAGTCTCCCAGCAAAGAAAAACCTGGGACCTAATGATTCACTGGTGAATTCTAGCAAACATTTAAAGAAGAACTAATACCAACCTTACCCAAATGATTCCAAAAATAGAGAAGGAGGGAATACTTCCAAACTCATTCTACAAGGCTAGTATTATCCTGATACCAAAACCAAAGATACATCCAAATAAGAAAACTACAGGCCAGTATCACTGATGAATATTGATGCAAAAATCCTCAACAAAATATTAGCTAATTGAATTCAACAACACATTAAAGTTGGGGTGCAGTGTCCCAGGTTCACCCAATGTTTCCCATTTTCCTCTCTGTGTGTGTCTACTTTGCTGTGTTCCCTGGTGGCAGCGGGGGTGGCAGTGTTGGTGTGTGGGCCTCCCAGGACAAGGGGAAAGTGAGTATGCCCTTTTCTTGCCTCCTGCCAGGCGTCTGCAGCCTGGCACAAGCTCTGACCAGGTCTTCAAGCCAGGGACCTGGAGATGTTCTTTTCCAATTTATGGATTGGTAACTTGAGGCAAATTCTGGGCACTACAGTCAGAACTAAGAGGACACTTGAATTAGGGGGAGTCTGGGGTCCTGAGAGGTAGAGGCCTGAAACCATCTGCAGCTTGTGGGGAGCTGGGTGTGTGTTCAGGCCAATTGCTTCTCTCTGTGCCTCAATGTTCCAGGTACCCTTGGAGGGGCTGAGATCCTAGGGATTCCTGGAGTCTGGCTGCATGGCCTGGCCACCCTGATGCCCTTGTGTTCTCCATGACAGGACAACAAGGCCAAGAAGAATGGCTCCAACAGCTTCATGCACTCCATGGACCCACAACTGGAGCAGCAAATAGAAACCACCCAGAACCTGGTGGACTCCTACCTGGCCATTGTCAACAAGACCGTGTGGGACCTCATGGTTGGTGTCATGCCCAAGACCATCATGCATGTCATAATCAACAACGTGCATGCACTGCCCCCTGGGGCCTCCTGTGGCACTGGAGATGCTGATGGCCATGTTGGCCTGGGGGAGGTGCTGACCAGCCCTATGGGACCAGGTCCAGGGAGGGAGACATGGTCCAGACCAGAGCTGTCTTATAGAAATATAACATGGGACTGAGGACAGTGACCCATGCCTGTAATCCCAGCACTTTGGGAGGCCAAGGCAGGAGGATAGCTTGAGCCCTGGAGTTCAAGACCAGCCTGGGCAACATAGTGAGACCTGGTCTCTACACAAAAATTTTAAAAATAGCTGGGCTTGGTGGTGGCACGTGCCTATAGTCCTAGCTACTCGACAGGCTGACATTGGAGGGTCACTTTGAGCCCAAGAGGTTGAGGCTGCAGTGAGCGGTGATTTTGCCCACTGTACTCCAGCCTAGCAACAGAGCGGGATCCTATTTCCAAAACACACACACACACACACACACACACACACCCCAAAAAACAAAACTAAGTAGACAGGTGTCATAGTGGCATGATAGGTCCAGAGTCCCCTCCCAGATCTGTGACCTTGGACAAGTGACTTTTCCTCTGGACCTCAGTGTTCCTTTCTGAGTGAGAAAAGGGCAGTGGGGAGGGAGATCTTTCAGTCCAAGTGGTGTAAAAGCCGCATTGCTTTTTTAAAATGTAAATGATTAAAAAAGAATATCTGAAGGAAATGTCAAAATTTTAACAGTTGCCATTTTTCCATGGAGGGACTATGGGTGTTTTTTTCCTCTTCTTCCTACTTTATTTTATAAATTTTCTATGGTACACATGCATTTCTCTTTAAAGAAAAACATTAAAGAGCAAGTCGACTTTAGATTCCAAGCATTCTTCACTATGCTACTCTGTAAGTCACTGACAATCTAAAGTCAAAGATTATTTTCAGGGGCAGACAGTTTTCAGAAGTATCTTTTACTATCTGAGTACTCAACAGAATTTCAATGAAGGCAAAGTGGGTCTTGAGTGTCTCTTGCCTTATCTGCAACTCCTCTACCATCTCTTGCCATACCATCATCTACTCCTACTCTGGTATCTACCACTTTCATACTTCCCTTTGGCTGTCCAGTAATTTCCACTACATCTTTCTCTCACAGATCTAGTCTCTTCTAAGTTCTTAGCCTTCGGAATTATTCTTTTCAGATACTTTCAATTAGCCCATTTAATATTGAGCCAGCTCTACATGAAGTCATAGGAGGAAATCAATGCAGTTGCCTGGGTTTATGTAAATTTGATTAATCATATTTTTATTTTAGTTATATATGTCCCTAACTGTGCTATGCTTCCTGATTATTCCAGGCTGCTATAACTCTCCAGCTCTCACCCTGCCCTCCTTGTACAGCAGAATAAGGGACGTCAACAACTCAGAACTCAGCTTCTAAAATGTTGCCTATACCTGATCTCAGCTCCCTATGGCAACGTTTTTAAATGATAATTGATGTTTACCCTATTTTACTGTCTTCATCTGTATAACGTCAACAAAAAAACAACAGATGAATCTTCTCTGAGCCTTGATATGACTCATACTTGATGAAAATGCCGTTAGTCCTCTTTGCAGAGAAGCACTGTGGGACCCAAAATCGTGTCTTACCTGAGTTAAACCAACGAATCTAATCTATTCTCCTCAGATGATGGGTTAATTCCTTTTGTGAAAAGATAAAACAGTTTCAATTACATGAGAGTTACAATTTCTAAAAAGAAAAAGAAAAAGTAGTTTGAGTAATGCTGAGAACTAAAAATGACAAAAATTGGGAGTTTATAGCACAGAGACTGATGACATCACTTAGGAATTTATCTACCGTGAAAAGCTAAAAGGAAATACAGAATAAAAGAGTTGAAAGAAACAAGGAATAGAAAGAAGGAAAATATTACGCTGTTTCCTCCTCCTCCTGGAATATGTTCTTCTGTTTGGAATTCCACTCTTCATTCAAGATCTAATTTAACGTCACCTTCCCCAAAAAACAGTTCCCCAAAAACATCAGCAACAGTCATAGTCTGTTCATTTTGATACTCTCCTCCACGCCTTGCCCAGAATACATATGCAGTGAACATGTTGAATGAGAATTAAATTGTAAATTAAATTAAGAGGAGAAATATTTACTGAGCAGTACTGGGAGATAGATCAACTGTCCAAGGATAGGTTAGATTAACGTCTAGTCTGCTAAACTGTAAAACATTTGTTTTACATACATTTTACAGGATAGTACATGAAGTAGGAGCATTTTTCTAGGTTCAGAAGGTGATAATTTCATGTTCTGACTGAGGTTGTAACCTTTTCCAAAACAAAGAGTCTTATGTTGTTTTTCGCAAGTAAAAAAGATTCTACTTAACAACCTTGAATATCAGTGACCAAATGATGGTACTGAGTCTTGGGAATAGCCTGTCCTCTCTTGATTGGATTTTCCTGGGAATTATACCTCAGAGTCTACACTGATTTTCACCCAGGGAATAAAAAGGACAAAAGAATAGAAGAAAAGTACCTGCTGGGTATCAAGTGTAATGGTGTCTTGGATGAATGTACAGAAATATTTCTGCTTTAAAATAAGTCAATAGGAGTAACTGACTGAGAAATCCAGCACTTTTAAGTACTTGGGAAGCAGAGCTGGAAGGAGAAAGCTGTGTATTGAAATAAATTAGATCCGTCTCTTAAAGTGCAGCATAGATTCTGTTTCCTTTCTGAAGACAGCTCTGATCACCCTGGCTCAGGAGTATATTTTCTACTTCAACAATTTTATGATCATATTATATTTGAAATTTTTACACAATATATTTTTTATTGTTCACATTGTGTGTGCTCAGATGTAAAATCCTTAACAGTAGTAAATATTTTAATACTTCTATAAGTAAATAGTGCCCATTGTGCATGGGAGGCATCTAGTAAATATTTATTGATTGATTACAAATGGTTATGATAAAGGGCAAAATAAATGATACAGCGGATTTATATCTGCTATTTAGCAGATTGTAGATTTATATAACATGCTAATTGAGTCAAAAAGGGAATTAGATAAGAGGGAGATTACTGTGAAGAGACAGTCTTGTATGGGATATGTGACTTACAACCAACCACAAACAAGGGAAAGAAATAGTGAATATGGGAGCTACCCAATGCAGAAAATACTGTCATTATGGTGAACTTTATTACACACCGGGATAGCATAGGATTATAAAATAATAGTAATTGCAGACTTGGAAGGATTGTCTCCACCCCTTTATTTTATAAATAATACAACTGAGTTGAAAAAGTGTCTCAAGTGTAGAGGGAATGGGAGGAAGAACTTGGTCAAATTTCCATGAGCTTAGGGCTAGGACTTGATCATACTTTTCTGATTCCAAGTGTAATGTCTTTCCACCATTCCATGAACCATGAAAAGTTAGCATGACCAATGAATTTTAGATGTAAATTATCTGGAATTGTTTTTGCTATGTTGCATGAGCTCTATTCATGTGTAGATTCTGCAGCATACATCTCTTTCCTGGCCTTGTCCTTCTCCACCATATGCTTTCACTGCTCAGGCTTTGTGATCACCTCCACTCCCTGGGCTGGGCTACAAAGGTGGGATAATTTTAGGGTTTCTACATTATTTTCTCTCCTTATGAGGAAAAGGTGAATATAATCTGATAAAACTACAATAGCATGAGGCTGAACGTGAGAGAGTATGCATAACGGTAATATATTGCACATGGAAGAAATAAAAAAGGTAAGAAAAATAAAGGTCATCAGAAGTTGCTTGAGGTTTGGGGAGAACTACGGCCAGGAATAACAAACTGTGAGGGAGAAATCAATGAATTCATCTGCATTTCCTCTTTTTTTCCCTCATGTTATTCCAGTGCATTTAGCATTTGTTTTTGCCTGATCTTCTTTTATCACAACCTGTAGATTGTTAGGGAGTCTAGGAAATTAGAAGCAGTGCTTTGTGACAGTGAGTTACTGCCTATTTTCTGCAACTACAGTTTAAGGGGGTTATATAGAGATATTTCGGCTTTGTGAGTTAAAGCAATATTTTTTCCTTACAGTTTGAAACTCATGCAATCAGACACTCCCCACAAAGTATGATTTTCTCTTTACTCTCCTTTCCAGGTAATGCTAGAGTCAGCTCTGCTCACAGAGGCAATGGATGGAGCCAACCTCTCTGTGGTGTCTGAGTTTGTGTTCCTGGGACCCTCTAACTCATGGGTGATCCAGCTTCTTCTTTTCCTCTTTTCCTCTGCGTTCTACATGGCAAGGCTGCTGGGAAACCTCCTCATTGTGTTCTCTGTAACTTCTGACTCTAACTTACACTCCCCTATGTATTTCCTGCTGGTCAATCTCTCCTTTCTTGACCTGGGAGTTTGCTCTATTGCAGCCCCCAAAATGATTTATGCCCTTTTTAGAAAATGCAAAGCCATCTCTTTTGGGGGCTGTATAACTCAGATCTTCTTTATTCATGCTGTTGGGGGCACGGAGATGGTGCTGCTCATAGCCATGGCCTTTGACTGACATGTGGCCATATGTAAGCCCCTCCACTACCTGACCATCATGAACCCACGAATATGCATTTTAATTTTGGCTGCTGCCTGGATCCTTGGCCTCATTCACTCAGTGGCCCAACTGGCTTTTGTCATAGACTTGCCCTTCTGTGGCCCTAATGTATTGGACAGCTTTTGCTGTGATCTCCCTCAGCTCATTAAACTTGCTTGTACAGAGACCAATAGACTGGAGTTCATGGTCACAGCCAACAGTGGACTCATCTCTGTGGGGTCTTTCTCCATATTAATTATTTCTTACATCTTCATTCTGGTCACTGCTCAGAAACACTCTTCAGATGGTTTATCCAAGGCCGTCTCTACTTTGTCAGCTTATGTCTCTGTGGTTGTTTTAGTTTTTGGACCATTGATTTTCTTTTATATCTGGCCCTTCCTCTCATCAGATTTGGACAAATTTCTTGCTATCTTTGATGCAATTCTCACTCCTTTTCTGAATCCAGTCATCTATACATTGAGGAACAAGGAGATGAAGGCAGCAATGAAGAAACTTTGCCATCAACTTGTGAGTTAGGAAGATGTCCTAGCTATTCTAAAGATAAACAACAATGTAGCTCTGCACTTGAAGACAATGGAAGAAATAAAGTCAACGAAATTTATATCTCAATTACTTTTGTGTACTAGGTTACATATAGGCATTTACCGTGTTATTGTGTATCTCTAGTACTCTAATCAATAACGATAAAGGGAGCTAACGTTGGAGGCTTCTGTGTTTCAGACCCTATGCTGGATGTTTAATAGAGATCATTTAATATTCATGACAACTCTGTGCAGTGAGTATTTTTACCTCAATAATATTTTTTATAAGTTAAGACATGCTGTCTGCTCATTGTCTTTGTAATTACTATGTGAAATGTTTCAAACCTAAGCTATCTTTCACCGAATTTCCCACTTTCATTAATCTTCTCTCTCAAAAGGTGCCAAACAGAGGATGTGTTCAATAATTCAGTGTTGGAAGTTAGTGTATTATTCCTCTTCACTGTTATACTTTCCCTGTTTTGAATTGCTCAATGTGTTTTTCTCAAACTACCTACCAAACTGTCATAATGCCTAATTGCTTTCATTTCACTCATTCTTGCTTTAGTATCTGCTTGCTTCCTGTATCCTTTGGCTACTTAGAGAACTGTTGCTTATATAATAGAAGTTTGGAAATTTAGAACTGGAATTTGAGAGATCATTTGTTCCAACCTATTATTTTATAGATGATTATATTCAGACACAGATGTTATATGATAGATTTGAAATGAGAATTTGGTTTCCTCACTTTTAGATTAAAAAAAATTTAAGCCCACTTATTGATTTAAATTCTTTAGCTTTCCACTAACAAACTGTACCCCTGCCCTTCTATTGCCTTTTTATTTCTGACCCCAGTGAGCAGAAGAGACACCAGTGAGTTCATTATTGTTTCTTTTTTTAAAAATTTCAACTTTTCATTTTAGATTCAGTGGTACCTTTGCCGGTTGTTACATGGGTATATTGTGTGAAGCTGAGGTGTGTGGTACAATTGATCCTATCACCCAGCTAGTGAGCATGACAGTTTCCACTGTCACCGATTTCATATGGTTATTTGTTGTTTTCAAGTTCCTTCTTTATTTGCAGCCCAACAAGAAATTTCTTGAACCAGGTTCTGGTTATTTTTCAAAATGCATGATTATATCATCACTCATGTCTGGTTTCATCCATGGCTTTTATTTGTGTCACTTACTTAAAAAATCCATAATTAAACAGTATTCCTCTGTCTATATTGCTTTTCTACTCTACTGAACACTCCAAAGAGCGTTTGCCATCACCTTTCTTTCTTTCTTTTGTTTTTTGAGAAAGGGTCTTGCTCTGTCGCCCAGGCTGGAGTGCAGTGGCGATCACAGCTCCATCTCCCAGTGGCAATCACGACTCAAATGGTTCTCCCACCTCAACCTCCAAAGTAGCTGGGACCACAGGCGTGTGCCACCGCACCCAGCTAATATTTTATTTTTTGTAGAGATGAGGTATCACTATGTTGCCCAAGCTGGTCTTAAACTCCTGGGCTCAAGCTATCCTCCCACCTCCACCTCCCAAAGTGCTGGGATTATAGGCATGAGCCATTGTGCCCAGCCTACCATCACTTTTCTTACTGCTACCAAATCTAGCAGTTATCTTAAATAAGCTTCAAGAATTTCAGGCATGAATATTACTCTTTTTTGTTTGTTTGTTTTAGAGGATCATGGTTTCCTTGAATGAAATATTGGGGATCTTAGAACTTTTTGGGACCCCAAAATAATATAAGCCACAGACAAAGTCTTTCTGTTCTATAAACAAACTTTTTGATTTATAAATGAGTAACTATGACGATATTACACTAATACCTACTTACTTTAAAGATTCTTTAAAATGTCACATGTATACTCATATATCCCTGTAAGCTAGTGATTTTTGGTAGAACCTTGTAATGAATCCATCTTCTTAAAGAATTGACTATTTCAGGATTCTTTTAGGAAGTTATTTTACTCTTTTATATTCACTTTTCTTCTCTTTTAAATTTTGGACTTCTTTAAAACTGTTAATTCGCTTGTAAAACATTTGTTAGGACAAACATATGCTAAGACATTAACTTAACCAAGTGAGAGATGTTTCTTTTTAGTAAAATTAACCGTTGACCAAGGGTTGTCTAATTGAACACTTAGGATGTGCCCGGTACTATCCTAAGTTGTTTACATACCTTAACTCATTTAATTTTCACAGCAACTTGGTAGGTAATATTGTCATTCTTCTTTTACAGATGAGGTAACTAATGCACAGAAAGATTCAGTAACTATCCCAGGGGGACATAGCTGGTAAGCAGTAGAGCTGTGACATAAAGTCAAGCAGCTCCTGCTGCAACATCCTTGCTCCTAATCACCACACTCCACTACCTCCCAAGATGGTTCAAAGACCTTCTCTCCTGAACTGGGAAAATCTGAACACATTTTTCCTTTCTATACTTACTAGCATAAAATGGTAACATAAAATATGCATCAACTCAATAAAATATAATGCTATTCAAGATTTGTGTTCTGTCATTTAAATGTATCATTAAAATATCCATATATTTACTATTCAAAGGAGTTAAGATTCAGAAGCAGCTTAGGTACTAAAATAATTTTATAACTTTATCATATTCAAATAAAATTTTGCATAAGTGAAAGACAATGCACCATCTGTGCTTTGGAGATACTTAATCCATGATAGTGTAATTTTGTTGCAGGAAAAGAACGAAGCCTCAGGAACACCTCATGCGGTTCCTTCACTCTCACGGAACAAGAGAGTTTGCATTAGTCCAGGCAGAGGATAAGCCAATTTTAATGACTGTCTAAGCTGGAAACGACTGAACAAATGATACACTGCTTCTTGATTCTATACCATTAGACATGTCCAAAGTACTCCAACAAGAGCTTAAAGAAAAAACACTAAGCTTCAAGCACAGCTCTTTCTGGTGTATACAAAACGCTTCCTCCTTAGCTAGTATATTTAACCAGTAGGGCTTCTCTCCTCCTTCCAGCTACCGTTTATTAAGTGCTGTGTGCCCGGCACTATCTAATTTACACATAAAAATTATATGGAGCAGGCGTTGTTATGTCCTCATTTAGAAAAGAAAATCTGGAGAGGTAAAACGATTTCCTATCACTTTGCCCAAAGTTTCCCTGTTACATCTTTTAGGTGCTGTGTAGAGTAGGATCCGAGACATAGTCATCCCTGTGCTAAGGTCAGCCTGTTTGCAGCAGCAAAACCCAGATCTGTGGTGATGTGGCATGAATCCTGCCATTGGGTAATTTTAAAGACCTTGCGTAACTTCAAAGATCTTGCATACTACTCCTAATCTGAGGATGAAGCTATTCTGTTCCAACTCCAGTGCTAGAAGAATCATAACATTGCTTCTTATGGAAAGTAAAATTTAAGAACTGTGTCTCAGGCTAAATAAACAGAATCTAGGATACCTTTATAGACTATCTATGATAGGTTAGCAGGTGAGCTTTTATTTTATAACTGTCTGGGGAGGAGGCAGGGACAGAAACAGAGACAGGGATGATTGGCAGAGAACTTGGGGGAAGAGACAGTGATTTGGCAGCCTTGCATGGAAAGATTCTCTTGTATTATGCCTCAGTTTTTGTTATGCCTTATGTATTCTCAGATTTCCAAAGGAGCTTAAAGCTTCTCTACACTCTACAGTCATTTTTGGTGGTGAGATTTTCTTTAGTATCCATTTCCGAGTACTTATCACAATAAACTATCAAAATAAACTATTTGGGCAAAGCTTTCTGTTTTCCTCAAGTTACCCCTAGGGAATGGGCAGGGGAATTAACAGTAACCACATATCTACTATACTTCAGGGCCTTCATATGTATTCTCATTAAAAACTCATAAAACCTATGCGGTAGGTTTTGCTATCCCTGCTTCATAAATGAGAAAGCCTCAGCCTAGAAGTCACACACCTAGAAAGTGATTGACTTGGGGTTAAAACCAAATTCTGTCAGTTTCTTAGTCACAGCTTCTTGTTGCATGTCACAGATATAGGAAAAGGAGACTTATCTTCACGGAGAAGTATTTGGTGGAATTCTAGAGCAGAACCACTAGAAACTGCAACATGAATGGTTGAAGGAGAAGGAACTAAACCCGCTATTTCTTCCGATGCTCTGAGGTTGCGGGCCTCTCATTTGTATTTCTTTCTGTGTCCCATCCCTGTAGCTACATCACTTTAGTTTAAGGGACCAGCAGAAGCTGAACAGCATTTATGAACCCCAAATTTCAAATTTCCAGGAGGGAGAATGTGATTGGTTAGGTGAAGTCAGGACCCTCAAGATGCAGGGCCCTTTCTGTGGTTGAGTTATACATCTCATCCTCTGCCACCTCCTCAGGGCCTTTGCTCTGTCAGTTACTCCCTCCTCCTCCTATATTTTTAAACCATCCTTTCTCTTGGTTTCTTTATATCAGTATTCAAACATGGCCACATCTCTTCTAAGCTTAAAAACATCAAACAAATAAATATAATCTCTTTCTTGAATCCACTTTACTTCTAATGATAGATTAATCTCTGTACTAGTTTCCTAAGGCTGTCATAACAAATTAGTACGAATGTGATGGCTTAAATATATGTTGATGTCCAGTGCCATCAACAGTGGATTGGCTAAAGAAAATGCGGTACATGTACACCATGGGATACTATGAAGCCATAAAAAGGACAAAATCATGTTGTTTGCAGCAACATGGATGCAGCTGGAAGCCATTATCCTAAGCGAATGACTGCAGAAACAGAAAACCAAATATCACATGTTCTCACCTGTGAGTGGGAGCTAAACACTGGGTACACATGGTTATAAAAATGGGAACAATAAGGTTGGGTGAGGTAGCTCATGCCTGTAATCCCAGCACTTTCAGAAGCCAGGGAAGATGGAGGTCAAGTATTTGAGACCAGCCTGGCCAACACGGTGAAATCCCTCTTTACTAAAAATACAGAAATTAGCCAGGGCTAGCGGTGCACACGTGTAACCCCAGCTACTCAGGAGGCTGAGGCAGGAAAATTGCTTCAACCCGGGAGGCGGAGGTTCAGTGAGCCAAAATTGCACCATTGCACTACAGCCTGGGCAACAGAGAGATTCTCTGTCTTAAAAAAAAAAAAAAAAGCCAAGGAAGAATGCAAGAGTGGGGATGGGGAGAACAGGGTAAGAGCTGAAAAACCCTACCTAGTGGGTAGATGTTTACCACCTGGGTGATGGATTCATTTATACTCCAAACCTCAGCACCGTGCAATATACCTAGGTAACAAACTGCACATGTACCCCCTTATTTTAAAGTAAAAGTTGAAAAAAGCAGCACAAAAGATAATATAGTCGGGCAACATATGGAAAATGTATATGAAATTTTGTTACTGTTTGTAAACAGCGACAAAAAAAGGATATCAGCAAACCATAAAAAAGAAAGCAAAAGTTGATGAATTCAGCACGCATTTTGAAAGAATAGACAAACTTTCTGTGAATTTGCTTTGGTTACAATAGAATGCTCTCTTATTAGGTGAGCCAATTGGCAAGTGAACTAATTGGGAAATAGGCTTTTTCTGAAACCCTAATGATTTCTTAACAGCAGCAATTAATAAACATAGATGCCATATGTAATAACAGACACTAACCATGCATCTGTGCTGTATAAGACACCAGTAGGTGGAACATGCAGGATCTAAAATCAACAGATATTGATATGCTTTCTTCATGGGCATTTACATTAAGGGATTTGTAAGTAAAACCTTCCTCATATTGACACATTCATTTTGTAGATGTAACCCTTGGCTAGTAAAGATAATAGTATTTGAAGTAAGTAAAATATTTGTCTTGGCATTCGATATTTTAGTAAATGACATCACATGCTGATC